CACCCAAATACTTTCTCAATATTGACCTTAATTTTTAAAACCTATTTCACTTATAGGATCCCAAAATAGAAAACCTGTTAACAGCAGAATATAATCAAAGAGTTCTCCGAAGACCATAGAAGAAAAGAAGAGAAATTTTCTCAAGATAATTCCACTTAACTTGGAGCTCCATCCAAATTTATGTTGATTGGTAAATCTTACAAAAGCATATTCTTCAATATTTAAGGAGTAGGTAATAATTAGTTTTATACGTTGAAAAGCAGAATCTCCAAACTATTTTTATCTTGATAAAAGGCATATTGTGAAAAACAGTGAATAACAGCAAAATGTTTGTGTCATAATTAACATGATGTTCCCAGACTTTTAAGATCTGTATCTGTAACACAACTCTAAAGGTAATTAAAAAGCTTTAGTACTCAAAAAAAATTTACGTGGTAAAACTGGGCATTATTCTGGGTAAAAAACACTTGTGGGATGAATTAAAATAAAGTCTTTGCTTCTGTGGATCTGTAGAAAGTCGCGACGGTTAGGATATAGCTTTAACTTTCTCCCCTTTCGACCTTTAAATAAAAGAAATGCCTTGGGCTGTGAAGTTATATTAGGGAAACTGAAATTGTGGAGAAACTGCGTACAATGAAGAAGACAGTATAAGTTAACTTATCATACAGGTTTATGTTATGATCCAGTGAGCAGATAAAGTCTGTCTAATATTTCTGAGGATCAAATTTTACTTTCATTGTTGAACCCATTTTAAAAATAGTACCAACTTATTAAGGTAAAGCTTAAGATAATTTATCTTGTGAAGTCTTCTTATAGTGCATAAAGGTTCTCGTTTGGAAACACAATATCCTGTTTTTCAAAGCCTAATGTAACATAACAGCACATGTAAAACTGTAATAATACATACTGATCTACAAACCTCCAGGCTGATTATTTGGGACAGAAAATGCACTAAGTTACGATGCTGTGATCAAACTGAATTTGAATAAAGTCTTAAAGTAATTGGTGACTCTAGTTCACCTTCTGCAGTTGTTCATGATTACAAATCAATTACTTTAAGTTCATGCTAGGTACAGATAGAATTCCCTCTGTTTTATAAAGTTGAAAACAGTGTTCCCTTTATAAACTTCGACAAAACAATGGAAAGATGTATTTTTCCTTACTTAGGTAATTTAGTTGCTCAACACATTTTGAAAAATCTGATCACACACGTACTTATCATATGGTATTCATATAAAATTGTATAAAGAGATAAGGCTGAGAATATGAAAAGAGGTTAAATAGGAAGGCTAAACTAAAGTCGAAATAACAATGAAAGTCAATAGGCCGAAAACAATAGTACATTGGACTTGGTTTCAGAGGTGAATTCATCAAGGGAGATTTCATGTGATAACTAATTATTTTTGAGCACACAAAGTGACTTCAGCTTTCTAGTAGCTAAGGCCTCGATGAGTTTTAGGATTCGATACTTTGGACGTTTGAACATAGAAAGAACTCATAAATCTATGCTCGTAAGGGGCTAGGAGCATATTTTAAAATGACTTCAATAGCAAGTCGACTTAGATGACCCCATAAACGTTGGTAGCAGATATTCAAGTCATTTGACTGCGGAACATATCATTGAGACAGGTAACAGGGTTGTCGTTTCCACGTCTTTCGGACTTAATTACAAAAAGCTATGGTGTCTAATCCTAAAACTCATCGAGGCCTTAGCTACTAGAAAGCTGAAGTCACTTTGTGTGCTCAAAAATAATTAGTTATCACATGAAATCTCCCTTGATGAATTCACCTCTGAAACCAAGTCCAATGTACTATTGTTTTCGACCTATTGACTTTCATTGTTATTTCGACTTTAGTTTAGCCTTCCTATTTAACCTCTTTTCGTATTCTCAGCCTTATCTCTTTATACAATTTTATATGAATACCATATGATAAGTACGTGTGTGATCAGATTTTTCAAAATGTGTTGAGCAACTAAATTACACAAGTGGAATAAATTACATCTTCGTGTCTTGCCGAAAAATTCAGTTGTCTTGAGTCCCATTGTTTTACTCTTTGGTATTTAAAGATTGCTCATCAACTAACCAAGTTGCTTATCATCATTAGTACTGCGTTTTTGATCAATCGATAAACAAATTAGCCTATAAGCACATTAAACATGGTGTATCTTTAAATTTTTCTACATTCACTTACATTGAAATAAGCTTAGAATCTGTTGATAGTAGATAAAATGGAAGTATAACTCATCAACGATATACGGATTTGTGCACTTCGCAATGAAACACACCAATTATTTGATATCTCGACAGTATCCAGCTGTCCAAATCTCTTAAATTGAAGCTGAGGTCGAACTCATGAATGACTGGTTGAAAACCGGCTACCTAAGTAAACGAGCGCCAACTAAAGACGACGGAATTTCGAAAACTGAAATTCTGTTAAGTTTCCTTCGGACAATAAGACAGTATGGTCATATTCCTGAACAATTAAGGACATTCCAATCATAAAGGAATGTCATCATATTATGGTTAGAGCAACAGTTAATTTGAGCCGTTGAAGTCATACAGAAAATTAATTCTTTCAGGTCAATAAATAAGCTAACCTTAAATGCCTCCAGATAATAATTATCTCACCGTGAAAATTACTAATTCACAAATATGAATATAGAATATTCCTTTCAATAACTTATTATCCGCTTCCACATTTACAAAATCAAATTCGTTAGCAAAGTTATAGCCAGATTTAAAGTGAACATATTTTGCAATGGATATGAAATTACAACTGAAATTAGATTAAGTTTGTGCATGATAAAGTACACTATTTGCTGTGAAAAGTTGAGTACGAGCGGTATCATTTGATTACTGATAAATTTCACGGTTGCATTGTGTCAGATGAGTGATTAATACAATGAACGACATGACTTCACTAGAGGGGTAAACGAATGTCAGGTAGTAGAGTTGTGAAACACCTTCCTGCGACCAAAATGAAACTAGGGGCAAAATAAAGATTAAAATGAATTCACAAAATATCAACTAAATAAACCTCTATCTTGCTTCCGGCTACTTCAGGTGGTTTACGTTCCATTTTACAGAGTATGCATCCGAACAGTGTTCGATGGCATTTGGTGCTCCCTTTGAGCTGGTTACCACGCACCTCGTCAGAGTCCTTAGCTAAGAATATATTTCTAAGTAACAATCTATTTGATTTGTGCATTATTATCAGTACTTACACGTTAAGTAATGTACTGATTACCAGATACTAGAGGGTTAAGTGTTGCTTACTACCAACACACCCAGCCTCCTACAGAGTCTTCAGAACGTAATGTTTAACAGTGAAAGCTGTCCTGGAATCTATTTGATGTTTCCTGTCTACTAGGTGTTCTAATATGGAAATTTTAGTGGAACCACCTCTTCCTGTCACTTGGATGTCAGACATATGAAGAGATAATGATAAAAGTAATTAATCAAATATTTGTAGATAAAATAAATCCTTATTTTTTTTAAATCGGAGGATTCGTCAAATGAACATTTATCGTTACGTAAGCAACTTAACAGAAAAATGAGACAAAATGAAAGTAGTCAACTGTAACTAATTTAAATTCATTAGGAAAATTCAAAAGTGGGGTATTAATCTTCTTTGATTGTCCAGACAAAAATAGTGGTGACATAAACTTATTCTGAATACGAAGATTTATTTTCTAAGGATACGTTGTTATGGCTTACGCCATGTTTAGAAGATAGATTAAAAGACTATTTGATGCCCATTATACTCTAGTTGAGAAAGTATAGAACTCAGTATTTTTGCATTCCTTTTACTTATTGATGGTAGGATACGCTAAGAAACGGGATGGTAGATCTACCTAATTATTCGCAGTATTAAATTTTTTCGAAACTCCAATGCGACGCCGCAAATCTCTTCAAAAGAAATTTGTACCGCTTCCCTGTTCAGTGTTTCGTAAATGATGACTTTTTAACTAAGGCAAGCTTTGTTTAGTCTACTATTGTTACTGGAATTATTCGGTGTATAATCCCACAACCTAAATTTTATGCTTGCACACACTCGTCTGTAACTTTCAGAACGCAAGTCGATGCTGAGTACTTAAGTTTAATGACCCCAATGAAAACAATTGGTAGGATTCGTTAAGACACTTAATTGGCTTTTTCCCCGTTACCATTCGATTTTTCAGATATAAGAATAACTCTAAAATCAAACTTATTGTTTTAACAAACTGCACACGTATTCACCATTGAATGGTCCTCGTTTCATTGAGCATACTCTGATAAATGCGACATAAAAACTAAGATATTGCGCTGCAGCACCGAATTCAACCATGTGGAAACACAATTGTTTATTTTTAACCATGGTTGTCAAAAGAATCAGCATTAGGTCATTTGTAAATTACTTAATCTGAATAAATAGTTTTCACTCACTTAAATATGCAGTAACGTTAGGAATAGATGCCTTATTGGTTATAATTTCGAAGATTCATATCTCATCTTTCCTTTTTAATACCACTTAGTAGCGGCGAATACAGCAATGTACATTTTGGTCAATTAGTTAGTCATCTATCTAGCATTCCCGATTAGATTCAAACCCACTATCAATAACTTTGAAAGCTATGTCACTATGGCTTGACCTGTTGAACTAATGTCAACATATGAACTTATGAAAATAGTGAAAAATTATTACGGAGAATAGATATACTGAATCGAGTGAAAATTCAAGCCATGATTTCGACTGAAACTGACATTATACATGTTAACTCATATTCTATTTGTTGAGAAGGATGCTTGAAATAATTTGGAACTATTCTGTACAGTTGTGATAACTAGCAGAATTTCATATACAATGGATTGATTGGTTATTATTATCATCATTATCATTATAAATTTTAAAACAATGTTTTTGAAATAATTGAAAATATAGAAACACTGTACAAAATTGTTTAATTGCATCATAAACGCTGAGATTCATGCTGTGATTGTATTTCAGCTTTCTGTTAATTACTCCAATTCACTGGTATCTTGTTTAGGTGGACTAAAATCGGGAACAAGATCTAATAGGCATTTACGAAATTGTTCTCGGCGATATTCACGTTCACGCTGTATCCTTTGTGACAATGGAAATTGAATCCATATTTTGAAATAGAAGAACAATAACCGTCTTTTTCCAACAAAAAACAAAGCAGCGATGAAAGATTAGTAATTTAAAGGTATGATGAGAGATTAAAATTAGCTGCTGTACTTTTGTAATTAAAATTAACTCTGAATGAAAAAAAATACAACAAAAAATTCAGAAGAGTATGAAACGATGACTACAATCAAACAAGTAAAGATTCATGTTATGGGTTATAAACGTAATTTATTGTGTAGTGCTCTAGGAAAGTTTCTAGTCTATCTAGACTGAAACGTATGGGATGGATTTAGTATCTATGACTGCAATATTACTAATAAAATACGCAAACTCATGGCCAAAACGTTTCGTAAACTCTAATGACTGTTTTAACATAAATATCGTTATCTCATTTCACTCTTATTGAGCTGATTACTGTTAAGGAGTGGGACAATATGCTCTAAAATTTTCAAAGAAGCCTGGAAATCTCTGATAAGCCTTTACAGACAATCATGGCATGTCGGATGTTGGAGAAAACCACGTGACCATACGTGTGAAACTTAGATTGGTTAAATGGCTCTCTAGAGAAATGTAGAACTTTCCAACACCATCAGTGAGTGCATATAAACCATTAATGTTTGTATTTATTCGACTGGACAATAAACCTTTATCGTTTTTGCCGCTTCTTTCTGTTTTCGAGGGACCGAGCGATTACTAAGAGTGAAATCTAAAATTATTGTTCAAGAGTCCACTCCTCTCTCTCTCTCTCTCTCTCTCTCTCTATATATATATATATATATATATATATATATATATATATATGATACAGGGGAATATCAACTGCAAATACTACTTTTATTCTCTTAACTCTAGTGTTTATTAATATCTCCATATGCTGATGTAAATTGTGAAAATGTGGAGCAATATGCATGTATAAAAGGCTTCATACTATTTATCTGTTTGCATAAAAGGACGTAATGTTTTTAGCAAGCTACTTTCTGCCTTTATTAGCAAACATCAAACAACAATCAATAAACACACATGAATAGAGTGAATTTTCGTTCACCACTTGTGTTCATCATCTGAATACAATCAATGGGATACCCGTTCATAATGTAATGCCTACTAGCCTGTTAGTATAATGTGATATTAAGGTTCCAGTTGAATTAAGACCAACAGCTTAACATCTAGTACAGACATTAATTCGATTACGATAGGTTTAGCCTTCTGTGCTATCTAACTTTCGATACAAAAAGCTTATGATTCTATCAAATAAGAAAATTCCGTCAGCAAATCTTTGAAAAGGCAAGTATAAGATATCTTATCGTCTACATACTGACTGACTGTGTGATATACATCAATAAGAATGATCAAACAAGGGATAATTGTTCAATTCAACCATTCATAAGTGAAGTAAAATCATATACAAAGTAAAAAAACAATGAATATCTGCATACCGCATAAAGATTTTAACCAAATGACAAAATTGATCATTAAACAAAGAGATGTAGAGTAAAGTGTTCAATGTGTCTAACATTCACCAGCTTTATAGTCTTCTTTGTAACAAGTAGACTTAGTTAATATTTTGACAGTGCCTAAATTCCACCCTTACAATGATAACCAAGTCATTTTTGAAAAAAACCAGATAGGTAAGATTTACTGTATTTTTGTATTGATAATAACGTAACTTTAACGAGCCTCAAATACAGGGATATGAAAACCCTTTGAAACATTGAGCACCCTTCCATCATCACTATGTCATTACATTATAAGCACTTTTAATTTCTTTTAGTCTTTATTCAAAATATAAATAAATTTCAAATGGCTATGTTAGGTAAGAATATTTTTGTTTGCTCGTAGACCACATTTGCTATGAACTTTTCATTCCCAAGTTTGCACTGCCCTTCTGTGCCAAAATACTAAAGAGAAATGTTCATAGATTTTTTTAATCCATATCATATCGCTTCCTATTAGTTACCTTTCAAACACCTTACTTATGAATTTCTTTCCTATGGACTATTGAAAGACATACAATCGGTCATTATTTGCAACTTATCTCTTGCACTACTACCAAGTGACTCGTATCAGGATGTTCCGTTCAGTAACTGGTATTCATCCTACTTAGACTGGAAAAAATAAGTAAATAGTCATTTCAACCTGAATATCACCAAATTATGTGGAGTAACTTATTACTTCTGATATACAGCCATCGACGTTTGAGGAAAGTTTCTTATCATCAGTAACAAACAATAATACTAAAATAAACAAAAAATTGGTAGAACTAACCTGCTGTAATGAGCATAAGCAGTTTCTTCTTGTTGCCATTCTCGGATGCATAAATCCACTACATACTGATTCCACATTGAGAAACTAAGTCGTAAACGTTGTTGATTATACCACTGACTAGCATGAACCTCAAGTTGTTTGCACATTTCACAGGCCTTCAACATAAAATCGTACAGTTTTAAAAGTATTTGAGATGAAATAAAGTGTGAAACATGATTGCATTGAATTACAGCACACCTATACAGCAATTGTGACATTATTTAGGCAAAAGCACTGGGTAAAAAAGAAGTGAGACGATTGGCTTCTTAAAAAGAAAATAATTAATTAAGATAGAGGTTGACAAATACATAAATCACCATAGAACCTGGCTCATAAGTGTATCTCTTCAAGTTGGTGCATTTCACAACATCACTTAAAGAAATGACGGGTAGGAAGAGATATCAAAATGAACAAGTGTGTGAGACGAGATGAACTAAATGAAATTCAGTGTTGTTTACAAGTTTGAATGCGACAAAAACTCTATATATCAGCTCCATTGTAACCGATTTCAAACCACACCGTCAAGAATACTCAGCCACTGGTTTCTATAATTTCGTAGACCCCTGCTGGACGGTCTACACCTCCTAACAGTCGAAGATCTTGTGGATTAGTGTTGTCTTAGTTCGACTACCTTTAGCTTTCTTTCAGAGATATCCTACTTCAAATAACATTATTTGTCGATTGTCCATTACGTTCATTATAAAGTACATTCGTCTTTATTAGATAGTTTAATAACTTCATTTGCAAGAATGTTTACATCAGTATGAGTGGCATAATGCACTATGCGAACGCGAACATTTAAAAAACTGAAGGTAGTAAACGTCAAGGATATCCATGATAAGTTGTCATAAGGTAGACTAATATCAGCCTAAGGTCCATTAACAAGTAAACAAGATGAGATTTGTAGAACACTTAAAGACTCCAGATTAGAATACATTCCTTCACTTTTTCTTCAGACTTTCCATGGCAGAAAAACACTATATTCCCAATAAATGATACAATCAACATGACCGTCTGCAATTGCGCTAGGGATAAATTTACGGTAGAAATATTATACCCTTAAAAAAGTCACAGGATAAATTACATGAATTGTTTTCAGTCACCTATGACCCAATTCAGCAAAATATAAGACACAACATATTTTGTAGATGCGAAATAAGTAGACCGATGGAAATTTTTCCGTGACCAAAGAAGTACTACAGCCATATTATATATAAGCTATAAAATAGCTTGTAAGTGACAATTAATCTTGATGGACGGTTTCTGAGCAAATAAAATTATTCATTGCCACAACAGAGACAAACTAACACAGCATCAAATAGACACACTTCATCTAGGTTGCCAGTTCTATGTTAATTTCTCCAATATCAATAGACTTCACATGCAACAACAGTTCAAGAATGCCAATAAAAGAACTGAAGGCTTAATTTCGAAATTTCAAAAGTAACTTGCAGCCTGGGTTAAAGATGAAACATTAAAGAGCTCAGACAACAGAATAACATGAGATACAGTTGTTTACTTTACTCATGGTTATGAATATATTCATAAAGCTGTATACGATAGTTACATAAGTAACAGAACAGCTAATGAAAAATACCCTCCAAAAATTATTAGATGTATTTTGATGGATCTTGAACTGCTGAGGCTATCACAACTAGTAAGCGTAAATATTCCTCAGACATCTAAGCAGTTGGAAGACTAATTCATTATGCCAAAGATAACTAGATTAAATCCGTATTACCTACATCGACAAAATGATTTTAAAATGTTCTCATTTATCAAATTCATACCGGAAATAAAAACCCATTCTGGAATATCCAATTTGAAGTACAAAGGATGTTGGAATAAAAAAAGCATAATGGTCTGTTCTAATGTAAACTGCATTGAATAGTTGGTTTACGCATTTCTGAAGCTAAGTGAAGATGTGAAACAAAAGTTGATTTGTTTCTTATGAAATGAAATTAATATCATTTACAACTACGACCAAATCAAAGGCAATGGATATAAAGCACTGCCTGAACTCGACTTTGTGACTCTTAGCATCCATTTTCAAGATGTTTCCGAAACCTTGACAGAATTGATACATTTTAGAAATCTGAACCAGTAATGCTCAGTGCTACAACCAAAGACATTACCTGTAGGCTAGTCAAGCTGCAAATATACTTGGTCGACTGATCTATAGGACTCCGTCAGCATTCAAAACTGAACAGAATGAAATCCATACCTCTATAGCTCCAAACAAATGTATAAGTTGAGTCTTTCGCAAAGGAGTAAAACTAAAGCACAATTTTCTTCTGGTTTGTTTGTTATAAATGCTATAAAATAAAACAGTACTTAATAGGATGCTCAGTTTGCTAACTATTTAAATTTGCACAGTCCGGAATGACGTTTCTCTTAGCTCAAAAAAATATTTACGACCGTACTACTGCGGTGTCAACAAGGTTTCCATAGAAAACCAATAAGCCAAGGTCACAAACTGTGATCTCTGATACAGGTGTCATGACCTAACGAAACAAATAATGAATAGCATAAATAGGAAGAAACCACTCGCACTCATCTACAGATCTCACTAGTCAGATAGGAGAGACAGACGACTATTTTGCTAGTTTGGGTCCAAGCTCATCTGAGGCGCGTCTGGGGAAATGCAAATTACAGAAGTAAACTGTTCAAACCAGCTAAACTTCATTAACTGACTTAAATGAACCAATAAAACTTGAATAAAAACGTTTCATAAATTACTTACAAACTGCATGGTCCACGTTGATATTTCTCACAAGTGATATTTATTCAACTGTCCAAATGAGTCGTCTACAGACATAGTAGTATTACTATATCGTGTCAAAGCAATATTACCTACCAGATATGATCGTTTGTTGAAGCATTAGTTACTAAGAGGTTTAAGCCACCTTTATGCGTTCAAAAACAATTTACCACACTGAACCTTCTTTGATGAATTCGGCTTTGAACGAAGGGTTATTGTACTACTAAATTTTTTGTTATTGCTTTATTGACCTTCATCGTTATTTTGGCCTTCAACATAGACTTCTCATTTCACTGATGATTACTCTCCTACCCCCTTTAACTCAGTAATTTTTCAGATTATTGGAAAGTACGACTGTGGACAGATTGTTCGAAATCTTTTGCGTAAACACACATTACACCATTCAAACAACTTACGTCTTTTTATTACTTTATCAAAATTCATAAAGCAAACCAATTGTTTCAAAATGAAATGAATTATGTCTCCTAAAACATTTGACTGATAACATGTATGAAGAAAGTTTCTTCTTACAGCTATTAGATCAAGACTTACTCAGACTAACACTGTAGTGATTAATTAAAGTCTGCTGTTGTTCAGTGAGTGTTCATACAAAAAATATATACGAAACTGACAGTCAAGTCTGTTGCGGAAGACCATTCATTCTACCATATTTTAAACTAATCTTTCCATCTGCTAACTGAGTTACTTACAAGTTGAAATGAAACATCCTCAGATGACGATCGGAATTTGAAGACTTCAGTTCACTAGTCCATATACTGAAAGACATATTGGCAAGACCAAGCTTTCCAAACAGTCACCCAAGTACAGAATGAAACAAAACATCTAGTTGGTTCTAGAATAACTTACTGCTTCTGGTTACTTAGTCAACTTTGAAATGAACTAAAGTATCGCTTGTGAATCTTGGAACTTTGTAAGAGCCTGGTGCCTCTCAACATAAAACGTGAAGACTGAAAACGCCCAATCATCGCACTTCTGGCTGTCTCTGAGACAAAGGTCCAAAAGTCAGGTGAAGTGTAGATCTCATACCAAAAACTCAGGTACATAAAGGTGTGAGACTTCGTCAAACAAACTAATATCAGTCACCTAATATCACTCGACATTTATTCTGAAAATCATCAATGTACACAGTGTTGGTTGGATAATTTCTGGTTGTTTAATTAAGAAACAATTACAGGAAACTACTTTCAGTCATTAAAACTAACCTTTTTAAATCCTTTCATTCCTCTTTTCATGAGACAAGTATTGTAATGATTTTGAGTAAACTTATTTTCTTGTTCACGTTTATTCTGTACATGTAACAGCCAACTATGAAATGCATTTCTGTAAAAAGAAATGGCTGCATAAGTAAATATGATGCACCAGGGAAAACAAATACAGACTGCATGGAAAAATCATTAAGCTTTAGAAAGATAATAATATAATGACGAAGTATTTTACAGGAAAGACCATGTGTTCAAGTTACCACATTTCATGACAGTACCAAAGAAGCAAAACAACAGAAGCAAAAAAATATTTAGATAACTTTAAAGAATCGGATTATCAAGAAAAAATGCAATTAAAATTAATTAAAACCTTTCAACGTGTTCAACATTTTGTTAGGAAGACAAAAAGTGAATACATCTACAATATGCTGACCAAGTTCCAGCTACATTTCTCAAGCTGACTTCTTATGCACCAGAGAAATCAGCCCACATTCCATATATAATGTGGACCAATAGTCATTAATTTCACAGAATCATACCGTGCCTTGGTATGCATACTATTAACCTTATTCGACGTGATAATGTCAATTCTAACTATATGGACTGAATAACCGGGATGGGTAATACGATCCCTTGTTATAAACCCCACGTCTAATTCTAATATCACTCATCCTAGTGCCATGTCACTTAAGCAATGTTACAAGGATACTTAAGACAGGAAGAATATAGCATCGAAAAGCTAAAGACCTTCAAAGGCCATGTAAAATAAAAATCATAAAAACTTTACAGACTTGAGGGTATTATTATCATAAGAAACCGATCTATTCTCACAAGAAGTAAAGTAGTGTTGGTGCACGTAATAGCGAGCCAGACAAGTCAACCATTTGAAAATATTATTTTTTAAAAAACAATGCATGTGATGAGAATGCTCAACATATCACTTATGCTCCACAAAGCTGTCAGTCATTTCAATATTATTCAGTTTTTGAAATAGCATTCCTAGTTGCAGTTAAACAATGCGTATCTTGAAAATATCTCTGCATATAAAAAAGAGACCTTTTACAACATACTACCGAAGAACATAAGTAGTCGCAAAACACGCTAGCTGATCTGGAAATTTCACTAGCCAGATAACAGTGATCTAAACACTTGACGACTGTTTCACTTGTTTGGGGCTGAGCTCATTTTTGGTGCATGTAAAGAAATTCAGCAACCGAGACACTGTTCAGATCAACTGAAACGTAACAAGGAGTTCCTCATTTATTTTACAATAATTCAGCAAGGAAAATTATCATACAATAAACAAAAGAAATTAGAACATTGAGCAGAAATTGATTAATGACCAAATCCAAACTCTTGATCGTATGTTTGGGTGCAGATGTACAATAAAATGTTTAAAAAGACGAAATTACCTCATAAGAACCTTCTGTAGATGAACATTAGCTACCTCAGTCAATGTATGTTGTTGAATTAAGAATTTAATCCATGGCTTAAAGCCATAATAACGAAGACATAATAGTTTCCTATGAGTGACAGCCTTTGAGTTCAGTTCCTGTTGATGCGCTAATCTTAATTCCGTTTGTTGTTTTAGCTGCAAAAACAAACAAATTGTACAAAATGGAAAATACATACTAAACTGTTTAAGAAGACTCATGCAACACCTATGTTAAAAATGTTTTAGTAGCCTTTATCAGACAGTAAGAAGTAACAGGTTGAGGCGTAATGATATTCATGTTTTGTGAGCTACTGCAATATTTAATGATATGCTTGAAGTATTTGAAAACGGCCACTACAGTTACTTGCATCGTAAACACTATCGTTCTTTGCTCATTAAAGAAATAATTCAACTAAAGAAATCCCTGCCTATTCATAAACGTAGGAGTTAGACCGTGGTTGATACCACCTCTGCAAGAGCTAATGAAGGTACATTTACAATAAGAAGAGTGGCATTTTAAGCTTGCGCCGACAGGCAGATGGGACAACCAGACATATAGACCAACTAGTATCAGGTTCACAACCAGACAGTAAAACTGACATTATCTGCTTGATGGTGGCTAGCAGTGGAATCCAGTGAACGAGCCTTTCGCTATTTAGGGCTCTTCAGATGGATACATCTGCATCTCGGTGCTATGGTGTTCCCACTAAGACAAAAACTTAGGCTGCTGGGCCACTAGAAATAAAAAGTTTTGTCTCCCCCTGATAGGTACTACCAAGCAAATAAAGTAAAAATGAGACTCGAGACAGTATCAAGGCATCCGTTGACAAAGCCACTATGCCAAAAGAGGTCCATCAATTCGGTTCATTTCAATTATCAAAATAAAACAGAACAATGATAAATATCTAAATCTACAGTTTTCAGTGAGACTCTTCCACTGCATCAGCTAAGATTACACTATTGCATATGCATTCAAATAAAAAAAGGTGATAAAGGGTGGTATTCAACCAGTTGAGGTTCTGAAGATATAAGCGAGATAAATTGTCTGAAATCACAAAGGATAGAAAGAAATGATACAAACTGAAGGACAACTTACCGCAAAAATGGGATGCAGATAACATTTGTACCAACCGAGTTGACAGACAGATGGATCAACATATCAACTTGTGGGACACAAATAGATTAATTCAGGTCGTCAAACTTCAAAGGATGACGCAAAGTTTGACAAGCGTATGACAGACAGATAGATAGGTAGATACAGAAAAGGATACTCTACTTCCTTAATCACTAAGACAATTCCATTCACAGAAAATAACATAACGAATGTTTATTTCCTTTAGTTTCTTACGCCTTCACCTTATCGCTATTCGTAGCAGCTGATAATATTTACATTTCAGTCATTCATCTTGTTGACTTCAATCATATTATGTTGATACAGCGAAATTAATGGTCTCATAATTGTAATATTCTTACTTTATTTGTCTGTCTACTAAGAAGGTAACTTATGCACTTAAATATGGAGTTTTGTTTTATAACACTAAAGAAAATCCGTGTACCAGATAATGTCTGAATCACAGTGTCTATAGCAAAAGATAAAATAAAAGATTTTTGTCATTGTCCACTCAAGGATTTGTGAGTACGGTGAAATGAAAACTGTGGAATCTGAGCGTTTTACTTGATTTATGAATTTTCATGAAGATTTTGCGGAGATGTCAGTAAATTACTACTTAGGTCCTTATAGCTTACCCTCATGAGTGATAAACGTTCACAAAGCAAAAGTGAGTTGAAATCCATTCAGGTTAAGCTTACCTTAGATCATCTAAACTTCAGAGAAGACTGCTAAGGAGGCTCTGAAATGAACCAAGTTAAATCAGTAAACTAAAATAAATGCGGTGCAATAATGTAAGCACGAAAACTCTTAATTATTATATCGGTATTTCACCTCCTACTTTGGGCTACACAACTAACTAATTTATGCCTATCAGTCAAACTTAGTTCGAAACCTCTAACACGATTTGCTAGTAAATTTCCGAGTTAAATCATCTGTTTTCATCCATATATTTACAGAAGTTATGAGTGTGTCGCCATTAGAGATAAAACTCATGTAGATAAAATAAGATTAACGGATTTTCACAAAGCGTCCAGTTGTTATCTCAACAAACTAAATGACAAAAAAATACAAACAGGGAACAAAACAAAGTCACAAATAATGACTTCTGAAACAGATATGAGAAAAAAGTTTTCTACCAACAGCGTTTCCGATTTACACTGACAACCGCTTCAATTAAATATCAGCCTTTTGATAGCTTAACAATTATCATTGAAGGTTTATAAAAGATTTTTATGATTTAATTCCCGTGACGTGTTTTATTTTGTTTCTTTATAGGAATATCACACTCACATCAAAGCAAAATATGACAACTTTCCACATAATGTAAACTTGGCACTCCACTGAATGCTGCTACTCACTTTTCAACTTCAAAACTGTTTGTTAAGAGGCATAAAGGTTTATCCAAAAATAATTAGTCCGAGAAGTGCAAATGATACAGAAACTGTTTAAAGGGAGATGAATTAAGCACTTGACTAATTATGTTGCTTACATTTGGATACAACGTGGTGAAAATATTCTATATTTACTGCAAACACAGTCAAGTTCTGTTTACTTGTTTAAAAGTACATATGTGTCTTCTAAAATAACTTTCTATTGATGAGATAAAGATTGCGTTCCTACAAAGCTCACTAAAGTTTATATATCCACTCCAAAGGAGGTGACAGGATATTGATTTCCTCTTTTTATATGATGACAATCACTTTATCCCGGGCGATATGTTTGGTACAGCATGAAATTCTTATCATGTAATATTTCAACAAATCTACTCCCTGTAAAATATTTTAAACGAGATAATTATAGCACCCCATTGATGTTAACAATAACACTATTACAGCCAATACCACGAACCGATTAGCTGTTGTAAAGTTAACGCCTGAGCTAAAGGGAACAATGAAATGAAAAGCATAAGTAAGTTTGACAGTGATTGCTCACTCAGCCAGAACTCGCAGTTTGCGATGACTATTTCAGAAATGGCAATACAATGTATTCGTAAGAGTCTAAAGGTCCTTTGCCATTTACAATCAAGGGTTTTGTCCGCATTTTATTGTCAACTTGCGAAACGGCACGTTAAAAACATTTTTAATATGCACGCGAGTACATAATATGATTTAAAGATATTTTAAACATTCAAACAAGTTGGAAGGGGACGATCTAATGATATATATTCGGTGGAAAATCCTCGGTATCCCACGGTTCAACTAGGCCACTTTTATAAACTTATATGTCGTATTATCATACATATTATCATGCTAAGATAATGTATATATTGTACATACTAAATATAATATTTAATATTATATATATATATATATATATATATATATCAAGTTAGAGATCCCAATCGTTCTCATTACCTTCCTCTTCACGCTTTAAAGTTATAAATCCATGAGAATAGATGAAACACAATAGCCTAGGGCATAAAGTTTAACTATTTCAATACATCATATATATATATATATATATCTTCTACACTCTCTGCCTCAGCAGCAGTTGGGATTGTTTGATCCAACTGAATGATCAATTTGCCACTTTTATTTTGAAAACATTCAACTTGTATATAAATCAGATTAATATAACTAAAATACCAAAGTATATTAAACACATGGAAGACAGCTAAAATAACACTGGAAAATTTAGTCATACTAATGGTTAAAAGCGAAGACTATTTAGAGACAGTATTCGCAAACTCCACAGAAACGTTTTTCGTAACAAATATACTATTGTCTTCTATTACTATTAAAATGTGCTCATGACTAAAAACTGAGGAATAGTCCTTACAATCAGTAAATCTCTTAAAGGAATTACTCAGAGTTTACCTATGTGAACAGCTGCTTATCTAAACCTTTGAACATATTTTTACATCAAACCCCAGGTTTTACTATTGAAGTACATGACTTCCCACAAATAGGCTATAAATTTATGCTAGAATCCTTCTCTTTACAGGGATTGAGCAGCCAAAAAGTATACTAGTTCACATGGCTAGGTGGTTGTTCTACTGCATTTTATAATATTTCATTCTCAGTTTATTCAAAAAGAAACTTCCATCCATACGCAAAAGGAAAACATATTTGGTTAGCAAATATTCAACAAGAATAACCAACCTTTTGTTCACGAATTCTTTTCTCCTTTTGAGCAGCTATAAGTATTCTCTTTTCGTCTTTAATTCTGTTAGCTTCCTCTTCTAACTGTTTAGCTAATTCTGCCTCGATGGCGAGAAAGGAAAATGTTGTACGATATTTATGTCAGTGAATCAAATCTGTTCAACTAACAGCACGCATAAAATAGAACTAAGAAATTCACAGTAGAATACAGAATGAAAGAAACTACGGAAATGATTTAGGGTATAGATCTCCTGAACACTTCAACAACAAAATAGAGTCTGTAGCGGGATGCTTTGAATATTTGACTTCAATGGCTGGAGTCAAAGCAGACAAGGAGTGTAGCCAAAATATCTCGGCAATATCATCTCTTATCGGTAGTAGAACGGTTTTTCTGATAACGATTTCCGGTGGATTTAGTGAAAGGATCACTTTCAATCTTTAGAACAAATTTTCTCACTAAATAAACTCAATTATTTTTCGAAAGTCACAAACAAGTAAGGGTTGTCATCAGATGTGAAAAACATGATTGAGTTCTAGATATGTTAATATCTTTGTTCACTCCGATGCCTTTTGCTTCCACAACTAAACTGCATCGACACTATATATGATAAACAAGTGGTGTGTGGAAACAGCATACGATTCAGTTAATTTAGTGAACCTGGGTTCATAACTTTCCAACTAACTAAGGTTATCTACATAAGTGTAAAACCTGGGCACTGTAATAGAATTTAATTTCATATCAGATTTGTTTATTTGGTTTACAGTGATACAGTATTATTTACTTGATGGCGTCTTGAGGAAAAATTATTGCTCATAATCATATTAATTTCATTATATGATTATGAGCAATAATTTATGCCAGAAACGTCATCAAGCAGATAATAACGTACCACTGTGTGTCATAAGTCAAATAAACAAATCCATTATGGAATTAAGCCTATCCACCTAGAACGCTATACCCTATCCGTATATCGTTGACAGAAAAAGTTATTTACAAGCGACAAGTACCTTAAAGAAACCAGTGATTCCCATAAAATTATCATTCCCTTTATATAAGAAAACCTCTTTCAGAAACATATCCCAAAAATAAACATGCTGGTATTCAGCTTACTTATCTTTTGGGGAACTTTTAGGTACAGTGTATATGGTATCCATTAATGTAAGACGTGAAAGTTAGGTAACTGTTTGACTAAACAGATAAATAAGTGAATTATCTAGCCACGAAAGCTGCCTACTTTTCCAGTTATGAATAATACTCATATGAAGTTGCTGATACTCTCCAAGTAAGCCATCACCATATAAAACCAACAAAACACAATAAGAGAGGTCCAAAAAATTATTACTTTCTTTCGTTGTTCATTTTCACGTCTTCTTTCTTCTTGTATGGCGTGTCGGCGAGCTCTTTCAGCAGCCCTCTCTTCCATTCCTGGAATGAAGCATGAAGAAAACTCCAGAAGAGACACACTATGAAATGATGCTCAACAAAATCGAAACAACCATTGTCATCTAATTTACGTTAAATCAGTAATTTCCATCCCCAAAAGAAAAAATGTTATGCTGTAGGGTATTGGCTTAACAAGTTAGAGACGAGAATACTTTGCGTCAGTAGAGTTGATTTACAGCTTTGAAAAGGTATAAGGAGTAAATTTTTGTTCCATATGCTATGATGCTTGATGGCATACATTTCATCAATTTTTTCAACTTCATACGAAATAAAACTAGCAACATAAAGTAATTGCTAGGATAAAGAATACAACGAACTAAAAGTAATTTACGAGGGCTGACGAATCGAAAAACAATCATCTGAACCAAAGGAGCAGGCCTCTGAAATCACTGATTTCATACAGTTTTGACTAACTTATTTTCTAACTGCGTAATTGAAATATCTAAAATCCAACACAAAAATTAAATTATACATATACATTAATGTTAAGTAGCTTAATAGTCCACAGGCATTCTGAATAACATTAACTGTTCGTAAGCCTTTCTACATGTGAGTATATATGTGATAAAGTAAACAAACTACGTTAGACTTCAATGCAAAGTTCACTGATTCTTTTACTCAAATGGTTTGTCTTCTAATCGCAAAGACAGGGTGAAAAATATCACAGTAGTATGGGATCACAGTGAACTCAATCAATAACCAAGAAAACCAGCACCGATCAAGTTGAAAGTCTAATCGCTATAGACAATAATGGGCACTGATATATTCGAATATTTGAAAATAGCGGAATGAATGAAAACACATATTTAGACAACTATGTTTTCTGGACAAGGTTTGTAGATACGCAGTAAATTACGCCGTTCTAGGCCTCGCCATTCATAAATTTCGATACAAATTTTGGCGTATTAATGAATGTCCTACAGACATACAAGTTACCTGAAAAACAAAAAATAGATGTTAAACCAATAAGTGTTTAAACTCTACTGGTGACCACTAATAACCAGAGGGAATGTTTATCTCAGGCTTCACGAGAAAAACACTATCTTTAATAATCCCATTCTTTAAGAGAATTTAAAAACCATATTGCGTATCAGCTTATCGTGAAATACTTCCAGTTTTCAAGCAATCAAGTTATCCCGAATCCTCAGAACATTAAGGCATTTTATCGTTTAATTATGCAGAACGTTTACAAATTGATACATAAATCTCTAGGTCATAGAACGTAAACTTGAAGTCAGAAAACCCATCAGGATAACAAACACAACCAATGCAAAACCCGTTTTACTTAGCAGAGTTTGTTACTGAAAAAAGCTGCCAGTGTGACCAATGAATACAGAAGGACAGTGTAGCCAACATCAGACCTTCATAAAAGGAGCGTCTACGTACTTCGTCTATGCACCCATCTCATTGTATGAAGTTAATTTGGCATGTAACGCCACTAAATTTGCTTTAAGACCCTGGCAACATGCAAGAATTATTTTTGATTTCCATTCTCTAGTGTTTTAGCCCTATCCCTCTAATTCGCTGCGTTTCTTGAAATGCTTTATTAAACTTCAGCACGTTTAGTGTGTCAAGCAACTAGGAGCAATTGATCGGAAGCCCCATTCAATTAGATCTCAGGTGTGTATGCACTCATCAATAAACCATATTTACTGACAAAAATGAATTCATACCACTTCGGGGATCTGAGTCGGTGTCATGTAGTACTGCAATTAGGGTCTAAAACTATGCTAACTGAGCTGCAAATGCTTTTCTATAGGACTGAATACTGATCAAATACTGGAGAGTAAATTTTTTGGTGTCGCCTATTTATTTGCACTGACCGAATCTAACTGATGATTTTCGTAATGTGGCTTTCAAGCCAGGACGCTCACCATTGGAGTATACATTTATCAGTGTTAGGTGGTCAGGGCTATCAACAAGTAACCCTGCTCAATCCATGTTTGGTACTCGTTGACACCCCTTTACCCATGAAGTAACATCTATATTATTTTTTTCTATCTGTTAAGCTTGAACTCCGTAGCATAAAGAAAATCAAAAAAACATGTCTTTTTCTCCTGCTTAACTTGTCATTGCAACCGTACTAAAAAAATGCCAATCAAATAAAAGTCATTGAAACAGCCTTTTAAATTATGGGAAAGCTATGAGAAATATAATCAAGAAAAATAACCGGTCGCCAACCACAATGCTTTGTGGAATAAAGTACAAAATGAATGTCTTGCATATATGTAAAACACTAAATTTGTGAGGATATTTTAAGTAACCCCAGATTTTTGAAAAAAAACACTAATTACTAACCCTATTCAGTTGAGTGATATATATATATATATATGCGAGAGAAAAGGCTTAGCAAATTATTTCGATAGCTTCACAGAAACATTGATCTGTCCCTTTGATCACATAGCAGCGTAATTCGTAAATTAAAGCTCAAAAGCTACTACTTCAGTAGTCAACGACTTAAAGTTGTGATTTCTGTTTTGGCCACTTGTTTTTGAAAATCTTGAAGGTCACCGACAATAAACAGAATTGACAAAGTAGGGAGATTAAATGTAACAAATACTTGTTATTCAATTATCTCCACAAATCAAGTTAAGCATGTTTTGACTCAAACATAAAATCTGGGGAAAGTTCACTCACTGACTTGATGAAAGTCTCAGCTAACATTATGCTCGCCTTTGCTCCTTGACATAGATACCTACACTCTTTTAATGAGAATGCAAAGCTTAAACTCGGATCAAAATAGCTAACAACAACCCACTTGGTATCTTCTATGGATGGTCATCAACTACCTGTCGGAATGGTTTTTCTGAATGCCTGGGGTGGAAAGTCAACCTATTATATTAGTTCTAAACAAGTTACCCACAACATTTTCACAGTCTACCTCTTTATAAGTAACTACCATTGCTATGATCCTCATAATTATACATCCAATAAAAGAATTTTTACAGTTCGGAAAAATTAATCTTAAGGGTATGTCACTAAAACTTTCAAGATCGGAGAATTACTCACTTCGAACAAATGAATCTTTTCTAATAGCTGGTATAATAGCTGGATGTAGTGGTTTTGATAGGGAATCCGTTGTAGTCAACTGATTAATATTGTCCGCTGGGGTTTCAGTCTTGCACAGGTTTCTTAAAAAGACAAAAACAGAATAAATCCAACTAATTTTGTGACAATATTAGGAGATCATATCATACATTAAGTATTTGCTGAACTGAGTAAAGCATTTCATGAAAAAAGAATAAATAAAACCCAAATTAGTGTGCAATAGATTGAGCACAGAGCGCCAAGTGTTACTGTGATTCTTGAACTAATTACTCAGAAAAATAACTGGAAATGTAATGAAACAGCAGTTTAAAATCACTCTAGACGACTAAAGTGGCCAGTAATACTGTATTGAACAGAAGTAAGAAGAAACATTGTTTCATAACTACTAAACCCGTTTCAGTGTGATTTTCACCTTTTGGTGAGTTAACCATATTGGTTAGTCACTCATTCAACATATATGAAGAAAAGTCTAGTTAGAATAATCCACATGGGAAATGGATATTATTAGGAAGTATTACTTAAACTAAGCACGGTATGATATTAAGGAGGAAATATACTGTCTTCAAACGGCAGCGAAAGCAATTTATGGTTGCTTTTAATAATGCGTGTGTCATCTTTACAAACATTATTCCCAATGAATAAGTTGCATGACAGATATGAATTTCAAAGTCGATATTTTATTTTAAATGCTTTCACGTTCGTCCCTTGATAAAAATCTATTTGGTACTCTGTTAACTTATTTTACGAGTGAAATAGCTATTTCTGATTAATTCATGTAAGTTGGCGACAATACTGGATTACTAAATACTATTTTCAGGGAAGGGACATGACTATTTTAAATTGAGAAATGACTTTACTCCAATAACTCTTCGGAAAAAGCTTTCGAAGAACCATAGCTAATTTAGAAAGATATATAACGCGAAGCATTTCTTTTTCAATCGTCATATCAAGCTGAGAGAAGAGCTGAAGCACAATAGATGAACAAAAAGTAGTAAAATGTTTAAGTTTAAATAAATAAAGCGTATACGTTTGCATCACTCTAAAAAATTTTTTTGGCAAGGATTAGAAACTGAAAATACTAAACTTCATAATATTGTATGAACAGTACAACTGTAAAGCAGGCAGAAAGTAATTTTTGATAATCTCGATGAGAATAGGTCGAATAATTCACATAGTTCCTTCATTTCCTAAATTTGAGCAGAGGTAGACCAGCAACTCGAGCAAAGCGATATGAATTCATCTTATTTAGGGGTTCAAAAGTGATAAGGGTACGAATTTAACCTGTTAGATTTCAAGGTGGTATTCACCACGAACTGACATTAGTTGGAGAACCATTTAAAACTAATAGCCACCGGGTAGCTTTTCCGTTCTGCTGATGAGCCAATGCCTGGACGAAAAAGCTGTCCGATGCTGACAGGTTTTCAGAAATTCTCTAATTGATATCTGTTTGTAACGAACACCACCTTGAATTTAGTCAATGCCCACTAACTTCCAAACCAAATAACATGAGAGAATCAAATGAGTTGAGTATTGGGTAAATTGTTTATCAACGAAATATGTTTGCAAAATGATGAAATAAAGCGTATTTCTGACGTTCTGTGGCCCCGTTAAAGCTGCTTCGTCAGAAAATAAAACTTATACAAGTTATTGCAGATATAAATGGAAAATGAAAACAAACCAAATTACTTTTCGCCTCCATACATCCAAAATAACAAATAGAGGTCAAATGTTTAAGTTTTTTGTTGTAAATAGGTGATGAGAAACCCCGAAATAAAATGGGTCCATGCCAGTTTGCTCAAGCTGTTGTTCTTACTCTATTTAAGACTGTTGAAGGGTATAATCATATTACATGTCATCGTCATTAGTTATTAGCCTATGAGTTAAATGTGATGTTAATGGGTGCGAAAAAAGCAATATTAAAAGAAACTTGGTTTTTTTGTGTATGTACTTCAGTTATGGTTATTTCAGATATTGGTTTGACAGATAGTCCTTCTTTTTCGTGAAGTATGTTAGTATTCAACATAGTATGATTTGCATCAGTTATACGTCTTTCTTTGTAGTTTGAAAATCCTTTCCAAATAATTTTAATGTTTTCAGCTTCAATTTTTTGTCTTTAGTCTTGTAATTCTTGAGAAAGAGAGAAAGTGCTAGTTTTTTTGGTAGATAATACTGAAGTATATTTATGCAACGAAATGCTAGCAACGTCTAAAAACCGTTATCTAAGATTGATCAAAGTCAGAAGGAATATTTGCTACTTTGAACGCATTTTCGACAAATACCTAACTACGAAATTAAAACACCATACCAATAAATTAAAATAACTGAATTTGCATTAATGCTATATACGAAAATCAAGTTTGGTAATAAGAAATCTGTAATAAAAGCTGATTTAAGCTGCTTAAATTCGATATACAAGTTACTTATTACTCATATTCTCCACCTTTCGATGTAAGAGGAAAATGGATTACATTCGGTTGAAAAATTCTGACATACAATCACATATAGGCAGATATATTTTTATTAGTGTGAGCGTGAACAATTTTTAGATTTTTAAAGTCTTTCATTTTAAAAGGGCGAACAATACACGACATATAGAATATTGAAATATACTTAACACACCTATCATTGGAATCATCCTTGACACATTTATCTTCAACATTAGATGATGCTTCTTTCAATGTTGAACCAGATTTACAACGTCGATTGTTTTTTGTATAAGTCTACAGAGATTGGAAATACAAATACACATCAAATAAACACCATACCATTCTATTTTTATATTATTTTATGGATTTATTGATTATAATGAGTATTATGAAGACAAAACTACCTTACCTGAAACAGTTAAAAGTGACTAGGATGTCTGGTCGGTATTTTGTGACTTTCTATATTTCATCCCTGACGTTCCATCAGCAGACTTGATTACCTCATGAACAACAATTTTAGAAGAAAATAACCCATGCTTTGGTTGTACTGATGCTAGTTTATCACCTTTTTGTTCACCTTGGGAGTTAGCAAATATTAAAGCTCACAGAATACTAACTAACTGTCAACGTTACCATAAGCAATAAATCTGTATTATCTCTATATTTTTGAACTGAAAATCTCTTTAAGGTGCGAGATAGATGAAAGCCCGGTGCTGTGCTCTAACCAAACTGCTCAGTTCAGTTCTCTACACTCCCCAATATCGAAAAGAGGAGGGAACAAAAGTTACCACTCTTTTCTTTTTGAATTCAACAGGGATTGGAATAAAACAGTGCAATTGGAGAAATTCATGCACCATAATATACCTGGTTGCACCATGCTTGATCCACATTGATTATCAGAAATTAGTGACTAAGACAAAAAAGGTTACAGGTGGGATAATAAGCATGGACTTGATGGCTGATGTTCTCATAAAGGTGGTACAAACTTTTTGATCTCCTACAGGCTTAAACAAAATTACAAAACAGTCGTCGACTAGTGGTATATCTAACATCGGATAGGATTTTTTAGGATGTGAAACAATTCGGTAAAGCTGTTAGAATGTACTGCCTTCCCTACGAACTTTTATCTGAAATCCCAATTAAATCATGGTAAATATTCTGTGTTGGTTGTGGTTGTATTCTAAATTTTTACGGTAGGTTTCATGCAACGAAATAAAAAACTTCCATTGAAACTATTGGGAGACCAGTATCCAGTTACCAGTAATACACTATGTATCATAGGAGTTAATACAAATTTTTCTGTACAGTCTTAAAGAGATATCATTAGGATGTAAATTTTCAGCAAATGTCTTTTGACCGTAACCCACTAGAAAGATGAGAAAACATACAATAGACTAATTTGAATCATGAACAAGTTTTAATCGTGACAATATCATAACAAATAAGTGATTTTCGGGTTAAAATACGTAGATTTCTATTTCACCGATGATAATAATGTGGCTGCTGAACAAAAATAAGTTATTATTAAACAAAGGAACGCATAATAATATTTTCCTAGCTTTCTCAGTCAGTATAAATTTGTATTTAGGCATAGTTAAATCATAGAAATCCTTTCAATAATAAAATTCGACTGCGTTTACAACCAAGCTTTTTGATAAGCTTTCATCCACTAATAATATTCTGAAAGACATTGACTGAGGAGTCAGGCTTAATCAATATACAAATAAGCTTTAATATAACTCCGGCGTGTTCAGAATACCAAAAACAAGATTTTTCTGGACGTTTCACTGTGTATCCCATAGATTCTTCAACAGAAAATCCTGAGGAAGCTGTAGCATACACAGGGAAACGTTTAGAAAAATCTTGTTTTTGATTTTCTAAACACGCTGGCATTATATTAAAGCTTACTGGTCTAATGACTAAAGAATATGTTGCAAGAAACAATAGTATAAGTTAATATCAGTAGGTTAGCAGACGTTTCTATATTAGTGATGCAAAATCCTTTATTTGATAACAAACAGTTCACAGGATGGTACAACTCCATTAGTATTTTGGAAAATTCATATCCTTACTTTTTCTAAAATATTTTTGGCCAGTTCATGAGCTCGAGCTTCTAACAACAACTCAGAATAATGATGAGCTGATTTTAAAGCTTCAATTTCACGTTTCTGAGCAGCAATAATATTACGTTGTTGGATAACGGTTTGATTTAAATGTGGTTTCACTGGAATTGATTGAGTAGGTGGTTTTATTGCCATCTAACATTGTAAATAAAACAGTACCACAAACAAGCACAATGAAATTTACGTATCTCTGCATTATGGAATTACATTTCATGAGATTATCATAAAATCGTCTTACACAATATTATTACCCTTTTCTAGACCAAAAGCTAATAATTCCTTGATAATTTTAGGAATCGCTTTCTCATGATATTCTGGTGCTATCTGAAATTTGAAAAACTAAAGTACAAACAATTCTTTGCATGCATACACTTTCAACTAAGCTTGTTCTCTGAAATAGTTCACGCGTTAATATGGCCTGTTGCAGCTAGTAAGGTTTCTAAGAATATTTTCATAGTGTATGAATTCTTCGAACGTGATGTTAAGTCTGAATGTTAATTTAGACCCCATCCTAGATTAAATATTTTGAACGATAATTACATTTTCATATACTGCACACTGATATGAATACTGCAATCGTTAGACAGATTGTGATGTTTTAAACATCTGACAGTTTTTCCACCTATTTGAGGCCATGCTCATCAACGTTATATAGAGACTAACTCAGTTCATGTAGGCATATCATTCTTCTGTTCACAATTGTTGATCTATTTTTGTGATAACTAATGCATATTTTTGAAATTGTGAGTTTTCAAAGAGAAGATTAATTATGGTGCACTATACGAGTGAGTTTACAAAAAAGATACGCTTTCAGCCAATAAGATGCTTAGCTACTGCTAAAAGAACGCCCAGTATTTTCAAATGGGATATCTTTTCCTAAATCATGACAAGTAATTTTTTCCAGCCTTTTCAAGACTACTCCCTTATTAGTAGTTCTCAATTTTATACAAGATTAAAATCTCTATCACTAAATGTTTTGACTAGTTTCTGTTGTTTTCTGTATTGGTAAAAAGCCCTGAATTCAGATGTGTGTTACCCTTCTTCTCTGCACTCATTTAGGGGCGTTGAAGTTTAAGTTATCCTAGATACTGAGTCAGAAACTTAACCAAAGGCTGGCATCACAGCATACATCGAGATATCCTAGAGGAAGTCACTACAACATAATTCCCGGTGTACAGTAATGAACTGTAACAGTAATAAATTAGATCTATATGCGTAAATATTATCAGTAAAAGATCTCAAGACACGTGATAATACCATGAAAACAAATGACGCAACTAACCAACTAAAAGAAAAGTAATTATTTTCCTTCATTCTGTCCTATTTCATCATCATTCTATATCGTACAAAAACTTCGTTCAATAATGCAACTTATAATTAACAAGAAACGTCTTCCAATGTTAAACTAACCTTTTCACCAACAAGCGCCAATTATGAACTATGTCTCCAAGGCATGTGGCACAGGCTTATATCAATAAAATTGAAACTTTGTGTATAACTTAAGATTCCAAAGGATTCCATAAAGGAACGGAATAATTTTAAGATTAACCTGTCCTCATTTTGTAAACTAGATAAATTTTTACCGCTCGAACAGACAGCTAACACTTTATTTTAAGCCGTCTACGTTATTCAGTTATTTAATAACTGGGTAATTTCTTAACTTTGAAACCTGATTGAACTCTGGATCGAAAGGTGTTATTCTCAACTTCTAAAAAGCATGACTACTGTTTGAAACAACTACAACACTATATCTTGTGTAACAGTGTATGCGGGGAAGAAGTATGCAATAACCTACCTATATATCAGCTAACCACAGTTGGCAAAATAATAGAAAAGATAAGATGATGTCTCATAAGGCCGAATATACCTGAACATGATAAAGACTCTACTGTGTCCTCAATCAGTAACAAGCTTACCCTAGCATTCATAAAAACCAAACAACGCTTAACCTCTTCACGAAATGTTCATGCAGTCACCTAACCTGTCGGTAGGATCAAATGACAATAAATGGAGAAAAGCAAGTCTTCATCCTCTACGAGAGTCACGGTTTTTCTCTATCACTGCATAATTGCTCTTGTGACGCAATACATACTAACTATTTTTTTCCACCGCTTTAAACATTTCATTCATACTTTAAGTGTTTTTTTCCGTTGTTTTATGTATCAAAATCTAACAAAGGGTAAATCAAACACTTCTAATCGTTCACAAGTAGGCAAACTCACTTTTCTTTCACTTTCAGAAGCATGAAATTTGGGAATATTATACTTCAGGTCATCAAGAGAACAAGATGAACTCATTGACTTCAAGCATTTTCTGTTAACACCCACATTCTATAATTTATAAGAATCACAGCACATAATGAACTTAAATAATGGTTTATATAATAAGACAAAACTGTAAAACATTTTTGTACCTCTAATAAGGTCAAAAAAACTCTACCACATTAGGAAACATCAGAAATTCAGCTTTTTACTCCACTAGAATTCCATGAGTATTTATTTGCACAACATCTTACCAGCAAAATCAAACAAGCTTGTTTCCATAAGAAAATACTACACAATTATAGTGTGGTTCAAAGTTGTTGGTTCAGTTTCGTCTCAAGGAAAACTAAAGTAATTGTGAACGACTAAATATCAGTCTTGAAATGATCCAAGTTTCCAGCTTGAAATGAAGTACCTGCTTACAAGCTTCCAAAATGAAGCCGTAGAAAAAAGCCGTAAGCTCAGTTGGATTTTTTTGGTAATAACGAGTTCTTTGAAACGGATAACTAAAAATTAATACTCTTCATGAAGCTTCGATCATTGCAAATTAATCGGTCATAGGTAGCTATTCAAAAACTTCCGAGCTTCTACTTATCAATGTTTTTCAGGTTCTTAGGGATGGTTGCCAGATTGTTGAATTTTGAATAGTTACAAAGCATAGATTCAAAACTGACCCGATAGCTAGTTGAAAACTCAATAATAGGCTGACTTGTGAAGTCTGATTGGAAATTTTGTTTGAACTTGACAATGCCATACAACGAAATGACGCAAAGCACGACCCCACGAAAACGAGATTCTTGATGACTAGTTTATTTTCCTTCCTTTTATCATTTATACATCATTATACGACATATAATTTTTAAAATCAGCTATACACCAGAGTAACCTTCCCACTGGTTCTAAAACCGTACATTAAGCCTTTGTTCATTTTTTCCTTTCCTACATCTTCATCATATCTAGATATCAACAGTGCGTCCCGTACGGTCATTCTAACATGTTATTCTGAAACTTGTCCCTACGATTCAAGTAAACAGAATATAACTTCTAGGCTTCTAAAGCCCTAATGCAAACATACAGCTGAAATTTACTAAGTGCCAGTAGGAACAACAGGTATAACCACTGAAACCCTGGTATCTCTAACATGCATTTTTAAAACGCACATATAAGATGGAAGTATGGTTATTAGTCTAAACTCACTGGAACCTTGTGGTAAATCTATGAAATCCACCCTAAGATTGCCTGAAGACATGATGACTAACAGGTTTTAAGGCAGAAAGTGAACTAATAGGGTGGATCTCAGTTAGAGATCATTTCTGTAGGACTTCAAGTGAGATAGATAACTCAGAAATGAAAAGATGGAGACATGTTATAATTCATATTGGCAGTCTTTGTCCCCACACGTGTTGACAACCCAGAAAACAAGACTGAGGATGACACATACGACTGTAGACGGAGAAATTACAAGCAAGCAAACCCTAATAAAATATAGCAATCTAGTAAACGCCTTTCCATGCACTTTTGTTTGCTTTACTGACATTCTTCTTTGATCTACTTCTTGTCGGCCAAATGCTGTGAAGTGGGGCAGCCCATATTGCTCGTTGATTTGACTGTCTATCTGCCAAGCTCGCATTCACCATAGTTGATGCAAATATTATTTACATTCCACTTTTCAGATAAATTGTTCATTAGTTTTTACTTCTTCCATTTTTTCTGTCATTCCATTCGATATAATGTTTCATTCTTCATAACCTCGACTGATCGAATGTCAACTCATTACTTTTCCAAGCAAACTCACACTATCTTCTCTCCAAATGTACTTCTATTATTAACAAACGCGACAATAGCAGCTCAGGTGACATAACAAGTGTGTTCCATCGTTTAAATTTGGTCCTAAAATTTGAAGGAGTCAATGGTTGGAAACTCCTAATAATGTGGTCCAAAACAGATAACATTAGCCCATATGTGTCCACTTTGTAACTTTTTTGAAATTTTGTAGAATACACTTTTGTTCATTTTGTTCCTCCTTTATTTGCTTTATGAACTGCAGTAAGACAGATAGCTACACTTTACTGTCAGATTTGATGTTCAACTGTCTGTTTGCTTGTCTTTCAAACCTGCATCATCATAAAGCATTGAGATTAGAGGTGATGTCGCTCATTGTTTTAATGCTACTTAGAGTATTTTAATTAAAACCCACCTATGCAGCAGGTATCCTGTTCAAGAATGCTTTTGACAAATTGATCAAATAACCCACAAACAAACTAGCTATATATTTTAGTAACAAAACTGGTCTACAGAGGGAAATAATCACCTTTGAATTTTGCGATTTTCTATCGCTTAAACACCTATGACCAAAAGATGATCCATTATCATTACGACCATCATTGTTAACATCAGATGAATTTGCGTTTCCGTCATCGTTCCTGATTATATTCTCTAAATTATGAAGAAATTCAACTTCTTTTTCTTGTCTTAATATTTCTCTATTTATTTGGTCGCGAGTAGACTGAAAGATAGTATAGAGAAAAACAAAATCAAAAAAGGCATGTAACCAAGTGATCATGAAGAAAGCACCACCAATAGAGAGTATACGACTCATAGCATACTCTAAATAAGATCAAGATAAAAACAAGTAAAAACATGATGCGGTATACGTACTTCGAAAAAAAAGGTTGTGATATGTCCAAACTTTTAATTCTATATTGTAGCAACCTATCGAAAATTTCGAACTCTTTTAGTAGGTCAATAAATCATCACACAACTGCCACAGAGCATCATAACAAGACTATGAAAACATTCATAATGGTCAACTGACAAGGATTGTAATTTCATTAACAAGACTGAATTTGATAATCTTGATAGAATATGATTTCATGTAAACCCTAATTTACAATCATTTCCTGGCTGGTGTCTGTTAGAGATGACAGTTATTTCTCAAATCCTTTAGTTTATCCAATACGATTGAAACAAATTCTAATTTAGTGCTCATTATTAATCCGTTTTGGTGGATTGACTGGAGTTGTGTTGAAAGTATTGAATTGTAACGTTGGAAGTAAGAAATGACGTCACTAGGGATGCTGGTTCAGTCAACCAAAATTTGGCTATTAACCTATGTACTTAATTAATTATTGGGGAATGCTAACACTTTCCATTCTACTATGTCACTATGTGTAACTTCATCCAAAGCTCTTGATAAACGTTTTTCTTTAACATTATTAAATCCAATGTGTTGCAGTCAATGACAATAAACTGCTTAGAATACTCCTACTACTGATGATAATTTATTTTTGGTTGGTTGCTTTACATCTAATTATTTTGGTGTTCAAGTTTTTCTCAAATAAAATTTGTATTTTTCCCACTTTAAAGGATCGATATAAAAGTAATATCATGTAAAGTGGGTTCTTTAGTAATTATTCAGTGGTATGTATAGAAGTCGATTAATCATGAAATGGCTTAAGAAAGTGATTTTAAGGAGTTGAATAAAATAAAGCGACATCATTGAAACATTCATCGAAAACCATGGAATTTCAGATTAAAAATAAATCTTCGTGAAAAAAGGTTTTCAAAATTCATCTGTTGCTTTGAGATTATCCTGATACTTACTGATGGCATTTGGTGAGAGTAACTATCTTACAAATAAAACAAATCCCTCCTAGTATTAAAATAATTAACACTTCTAATAAAATATTCAGAGACACTTTCAATTCACTTTGAAATTTACTTCTCTTAAATGAAACACTGTACTTACTTTCTCCATTTTAACAGAATGCTTCCATTGTGAAAAACACTGTTTAAAGAGAAACATTTCATAATGTTGTTTTGCAATATATTCCTTCCTGTTAATTAACAAAATTAAAAATGGATTTAAGTCAGCATTATTTTATGTCCAATAATAATATAACCATTGACTAACTGACTTGATTGGAATAAGTATTTAAAAATATTGAATTAAACATAAAAATTTAGCCAACGAGGATATACAACTACATTGGTTGAAATCCTTAAGACATACACTGCACATACCACGCAAGAACAACCTATGTGGATGCACTACAATGATTTGAATAAAATTTTAATAATATTTTGACAAGAAATGAAATAAAACTAAGAAAATTCTCCATCATTGGTTTCTTTCATGTGATGAAATGAAACCTAAAATTCTCCAAAGTAGCCAGCCTCTTGTTCAAGTTTGGTTAAATATCTACCAATCACATCACTCCATTTTTCAGTTGTTTTTCGATTGTGTAATGTAGCTCTGCTCATATTTAGCGTTGTCAAGCGTCTGAAATAACGTTTGGACGAATCCACAGTGACATTTAATAAGACAAACTGAGGTTTTAACTACTATATGGATATTGATGAAGTACTGACAACGTAGGCTAAAGAATATTAACCTTAACCCATGTAGGAAAATAAGACAGTTCGGTAACCTTTTAGGCAAAGGCTGAATGGTTGAGCAACATATATCGATAAACACCAAGTTAAGCAGTATTATGTGGTAGACTGAATGTGAAGTGTTTTGAATAACTGAAAGCTAGTGTTTAGGAAATACATGCAGTCTCTAAATGAACTAAATATAAGTATCTTTAAAACAGGTATTAACAAGGATGAAAAGGCTTCAGAAGTTTATTCGAGTGTTATCTTATGCCATAATTCATCATGTGTAAAGAACGAAATAACAGTGCACTAAAGAGTAGTCGCTGCAACGCCAAAACGATTGCATGCAAATTCTTAAATTGAGATTTGTCTGCAGAAATAAATGAATAGTACTAAACTTAATTGCTTTTATTGAGAATAGTTCAAGTATACTGGTATATAACGATAGCCTTTTTACTAAATTGCATTTCAAGGTAGTTCTTACCACTTACTGACAATGGTCAGAAAACAGCTGAAAGCTTATGAACACTAACCAGTTGAGTTTTCTTACTTTGGGATCCCTCGGCAATACTTACTTATGACACTGCTAGGGAGCTACCTCAGAACCGTCAGACCTTACGGTGAACAAATACAATATTACCAGTAAGGACTTTTTTTTATAAATTTACTTACTTTACTAATTCTATGCTGTCCAATTTCGCTTTATTAATTTCCTTGTTTAAGTGAACTTCACGTACTTTAAATTTCCAATAATTGAAATATGTTTTTTTTAAACGAAATTCAACTTGCACTTTAAGGGTAGAATATTTGATCTTTATGCTGCGAATTATATTGTGCCAGGCAATAAATGTATGTCTTATCTGTCGACACGCGCATATATACATTTTTTAGAGAAAAAAGAAAAATTTTTATAAAAAATATTTATCATGTCATTGTTTATCAATACATTATTTTCCTTAAAAATCATCTCTAAGAGGAAGACTGTTTCAGTAATTATACTTAACATATTGAAATTCAGTGAAGTTCAGCGGTTAGATTTAACCTCTGTAAAAATATGGCTTACTAAAATGTCCAGCCTCCTGATACTTGTCAACAAAACACACCTGTAAACTTCAGAATAACTCAGTTTCGAGTGTCTGGCGAAACAACAGCTCTCAAAATCGTAGGAACAACTTACTGATAAGCGCCGAAAAGCATGACACTTAGGTTCAAAGTTTCCTTTCCCATTGCCTCTGAACATCTAACATCAGATATACTACAGTGCAATATCAAACTAGACATATTACTGAACAACTAAAGTAGTTGGAAACCGCTTAGGCTAGTCTGTAGATTTCACCAGCCAAATCAGATTGATCTAATCACCGAATGTCAATTTTGCTCTTCTGGGACCAGGCTCATCAGCGGTGTACTCGTATCAATTAAGCATGTAGACCACCTGAATTTGAGTAGTTAACTTGAACAAGCCAGCATACTTCATATAGGATCATCAATTTGTATATCTACAGATCAAAGTGAGTAGTTTCTACCTACCCATGTTGTTCACTTAGGTCATGACATTTTTGTGTTAGAAATCACACTTTGTGGTCTTGGTTGTGTGGTTTTCAACGAAAAAACCTGTTAACTCCACAATTAAAAAATTAAAGAAACTACTCATCTATAGGGAACATCACCGTGGAATATTCAGTTTGTGAATGGCTTGTAAATCAATCACTCCCATTTACGACAAACCTTAGAAATTTATGCGTTCTAATTGTATCTACCTAACTATTTTTACACACAACTCACTACCACAAGCGAATACTACAAAATTTCCCACTCCATCTAATTTCCTCAAAGAAACTCATGATATTACTTTAATCCTACCAGGGGCCCTATTGATGATAGCATACAAAAATAAAAGGCTGAATCTGCTGCAGTCAAAATCATGAAACTTTTTGTATGCAGTTTCTTACTCAGTAGAAAAAATAAGACCTCTAGTTCTTCCATAGCCATCCAGTTAGATGGAAATCACATAATTCAGGTGTGTAATAACTCAACTAACTTGTATCTATCCTGTATCAGTCTGATTTGATACTCTTCACTTTGATTAACATTTTTTAGTTTTTGTTTCCATTTTCCATAGCTATTTACTACGAGTTATGGTTTTTCAAAAATTTTAATCTAGTTATCATTAATAATCTCTATATATCTGTTAATCCAGTTATCCACTAATTATTCTAAATCCTGTAAACCAAACTGCGACAAAATGTATCCAAATGTATAGATAACTGTCGATATTCAAGTTCATTTAATTTCTCAGTGTGTGCGTGTATTTTAATGTGATATATTGTACTTAGAAGGTAATGTCTGACGAGATTTCAACGAAAACATGCAATCGATTAAATTCTTATCTTTTTAATTTTACCATAGGTGTACTCCATCTACTTTCTATCCAACCAACCTGTGTACATCTTTTTTATTCGACTGACTATAATTTCTGAAATTAAAGTTATATAGTATTTTCATTTTAATTTGTTTTTCAGTTTGACTGCTTCTTTAGAGATAAATACATCGGAATTACTTATGGAGGAACTTAATCAACATCTTAAAGTCTTCCTTCATGACAGGAATAAATTAATTTTACTAATCCAGGACTAATTTTTGTCGGAAGTCTTCATGAAGATAAGATTATGTTACCATACTTATTTGTCGTGTCTTACCGAACCTCTTCAAACTAATCCGTTACCGACCATCCAACTTGTAGATACTCAAGTAAGCAACCCTAGCTGTTGTTATCTAAGCCTCGTTGTTACTTCACCTCTTTCCTACATCTATTGTGCTTATATTTAGGGCCAATATACCATCCTTCTTCTTTTTTCAGTTTTGACCTACTTTCCAATGCATTTTCTTACACCTTACCACTTTCGTTACTATTTAAATCACTGAGAAATTTGTTCGCATATTTAACCATCTTATTATTGCCAAAAATATCAACTTGTTTGTATTGTTCAAACTGTCTGAATTACAGTAATGTGTTCCAAGTAGCTGGACTTAAAATTATTTATAAATTAGGTGGTGTCAGACAGACAAAATCAATGCAAAACCTTGCACACAATGCATTGGTTCAAGTTGCCACAATTCATAATCATAAACAAAAGGGAAATAGACAGAATAAAAGCGATATCAAATTCGATAAAGTTGTTTGAAACAATAGGCAATTTGAAGATAAAGGTAAGTACCAGTATTTAAGCTCTAGAAGACGTCAAGGAGTGATGTGACCAATTTTCAGCCATATTACCGAGAAACCATAACCACTGAATCTTATCGTCTTGAATGCCCCAGTCAGGTAGTATACACCTCTAGACCGCCTGAATTCGATACTCCTCACATGGTGATTCCACCAAACGCAGGCAATGCTACCAAGTCATCTGTGATCAAAAATCTGTGACCGCTTCATGTTCTTCTACTTTTAACGACTACGTCTCCCAGTCGTATAATAAGACAACGAACTGCAGTGTACTGCTCCTTTGATAGGAAGGTGGATATCTTGTCAGTTGGCATCAGAGATGACGCAAGTTGGCGAATTCCAAAAGAGACCTTCTGTATCCGAACTGAGATTTCATCAGCAACCAGCTCACTCAGCGTGATCCAGCTCCCCAAGTTAGTGAAGTGGTCAACACATTCAACCATTTCATTTTCCTTCATAAAACTAAGAGTGTTTGCAAACCCGTCTTGTAGCATCATCCTACTCTTGACAGGTGAGAACTGCATACCAAACATACGCAGATATCTACTCAATACATCCAAAAGACCATTCATTTTGTCAGCATCTTCACTAGGTAGGACAATATCATCTGTGTACTCCAAGTCAACTACATGCCCTTCAGGGAGCATATCAATCTCTATGAAGTCAGACGTACCTAGTGTTATCTCAGTTAGTACGTGCATAATGAAGTTAACTAAATACGGTGACAGTGGGCATACCTGCTGCACACCACTAGTTGTTGCCAGCTCACTTGACAACTCTCTGTAAGTCTTTACATGACTGTGTGAGTTCGAGTTAAGAGCAGTGATTAGCATTCTATACTTGCTTAATACTCCCTTTACAGTCAGACACCGTCACGCCAAGTGATGGGCAACTGAGTTAAATACCACCTCCAAATCAGAAATTTGGCGTGTATTTTCGTTCTCCAGTAGGTATCCCTGTGTTATGGGAATCGTCGGAAGGTGAAAATATAATCGATGCCTCGTCATCCAGGTCTTAACCTTGTCTGGTTTTGTCGAGTTCGTTGTTCTTAAGATCCATTCAGGCATCAAACCACTATGGATCCTGGGGTCCAGGACACGATATTCGTAAAAATAATTCCCCTATGGTTTTCCCAAGAAGGCTTCTCTCGTTTTTTATAGAGTGGGATAGCCAGTAAAGTAGACCAATCTGACATCACTAACTCTGATTCCTATACACTACCTAGTACTTCCTTTACTATAAGCAGCAATTTCTTACCTCCATCCTTGAAAACTTCGGGTGACAAACTGTTAGATCCAGTTGACTTGCATATTTAGAACTCTGATACAACCTTCTCAACTTCAAGAAGAGTTGGAGGACTGACATCTACGTCCCATTTAGGTTCATGCTAGATGTTAAGTAGCTAAAGCGTTGCTGTGGGCCAGCTGAACTGCGCTTCAAAGTGTTTCGTCCAACGTTCTAGCTACCAATCCCGGAAGGCTGTCACTATCCCTTCCTTCTAAGTGGTGATTTCACTAAACATCATCTCCTTCCTGTCGGTGTCCTTAATAAGCCCAAATTATCGTCAAGTGTTACCCAGCATTGATGTCTTTCCCACCTTTCTCGCTGTTCCCACCCACCACCCCTCGCTACCATTTTGAAAACTTTTGATAAATTTACGTTCAAGATGCTTCCCCCCTTCATTGTGGTCAAAGCCGGCTGGAATCAGTCTTCTCACATCAATCAGCTCATATGACCTTTGCAAACGTTCATGTGTGGGTTACTATTTGTCTTTACCGCTGTTTCTACAATAAACATATTATGAGTCGGTTATTTCAGGAAAAGTATTGCTGTCGAGTTCAGATAAATTCTTAGCTAACTCCTCCCTAAATATGTGCTTGGCTTTCTCATCTTCCAACAAAGCATAGACAGGCTTTACTATCACCTGTTTCCTGATACCAGAGGGCGTAGACATACACGAGACTATACTAACACGTGACTGGAGTCGAAACAGAAACTCCAGAAAGAGCTTTGTTTCAAAGATTCAATTTTCAAAGCATGTGTTACAAATCAAGTTGAAACGGAACGTTGCATGCAACCGAATTTAGTTCAGTATCAACTAGATCACCAGATGAGTCCTCTCCCATTTAAGTGCCGCCTAAATCACCATTTCACACAAATGATTATTCTTGCATCATGTCTTGGGTTTATTATCCAAAGATATTCTGTACAGTCAAATTAAAAATGGGTGCTTATTCTTCATTTAATTTTGCTTATTTCGAAATAGAACAAGAAAACCTCAGTGGGTATTCAGTCTGATCAGTTTTAAAAATGTGTACTTCCTTCTGTATACAGCATTCCGGGACTACTCATTTATTATCCTAAAAGTAAAACCTTGTCAGTTAATTTAACTCCAGTTTAGAGAGGTAATGACATCTCATTTTCTAAACGCAAATGTGCCACAATATTTTCACAACTGTGTTTATCTCTCCATTCAAAGTATTCAATAGAAAAATCTGGATACTCATATGATGGCAAATATACAATACGGAAAGCTAATTGAACTACGTTCTGGCTTACCAAATATTTTTCGTTCTCCATTTGGTTAGACCTGCAGCTAAGCTTTATTACATTTGCACCAACATCCTCATCCGTTGATTTCTCAGAAGAAAATGAGATGCTTGAAAGGTCTAGTTGGGGAACAGGGTTCTGTTGGTGCGAATTATTTTTGATTTCACTTTGAGAGTTCCTTTAAAAAGAATGCGTAAGCAGCTATTAACAAAATGTTCAGAAATAAAACCAAACAATGAATAACAGTTGCTTACATCTAGTTTTTAAATACAGATTACAGATCAAGTATAGAAAATACTAGATATTGAATAGGTAAATAAATAGAAAACAAATATTCTTTGTTTTTTATACAGCAACCTCGATTATTAAACTGACCCCACTTAAAGAGAATGGTAACCGGAGTTGACAGAAGACTTAAGTTACATCAGACAGAGCTAGAACTAGTAGCATTCATTTTGCTAATCAGATTCTCCACCGACTGAAATATGAGGCTCGAGTTCGAATCCTGCCATATACTGTGTTTTTAAGCTTCAATCACTGTCTGCATAATATATGTTACTCATATATAATTATTAGCTATATATCTAAACTTACCTATATTACAAATATATATATATATATATATATATATATGATGTTGCTTGTATTATCCCATCGTTGACTGGACCGAATTGATCGGTCTCTATTGGCAAATGAGCTCCAGTGCGGATACCACTATATTGCCTGTACTATCATTTTGATAATAATGATGAATAATGGCTGGAAGTAAAATCCAGAATGTGCGTCTCGACCTATTTAAGACTAGTCATCTGGATGTACGTGCCTCCCAGTCAGTGAAGTTGTTCCGACTAAGACTCGAACTCGGGAATGATCGCTTCAAACATTTGATCGCTATCCACTAGACCACCGAGTAATGATATCCGATCAATTTGGCCTACTGAAACATGGCATAGTACAAGAAGCATCAAATAAACTATACCCGCTGCACTAGAAGTGGTTATCGTGACTTGGTGGCCTAGAGGATGGCGATTTGACGTTTGAAGCGATCAGTCCCGAGTCTGAGTCTTAGTGGGAACAAATCGCTAGCTGGGAGGCGGATACATCCAGCTGATAAGTCCTAAATAAGAGACAAAATACGCATCCTGTATCGCAATGCTAGCAACTATCCATCATTAAAATAAAAGATTATATATATATATATATATATATATATATATATATATATATATATATATATATATATATATATATATATATATATATATATATAGAATCTTAAATCGATGGCAAAGCTGATGTCAAATAGTCGAATAGTTTCAAGTCAAATCCATAACTCATCGGTAACACGAGCATAATAATTAATCCATTTATTAAATAAAAGAAGGGTAGCGTAAAAATTGAAACTGATCATTCAAAATCAAATCAGTTCGAGTTAAATTTATCTGTATATTTATTGTACGAAATTAGATATACCTGAATTTATTAATTAGATTCCTCTCCAATTCCAATTCTTTACGTACTCGTACCATTTCTTGTTGAAGTAGTTCTTCTTCTCTTTTTTCCTGAGCTTGTCTCAATTTTTCATCCTGTAAATAAAAACCAGACAGAAGTTAGCACAAAAGCATCCACGACGAAAAAAATACATATCATTTCCATAAATATGAATAAGATTTTTTCAGCAGAATAGTAGTTTTATAAAATATACAAGACTAAAAAAAACCCAAGGAAGCTGTAAATCAATGTTTCGTGCTTGTTGGCATATGTCAACAATGTGTGTTTTCTCAGAAGTCTGAAATCGTGTCATTAAGTACCACAGCCATGGACATCACCACTGAGCTATCCCACCTGGAGCACTGGGATGGTGAGGTTCACAGCTTTGTGACTACATTCCAACGATTAACAAAATTATATTTGCTCTATGAACTAGAAAAGATGACACTGGTTACTGTTGAGTTATCGGTTGATGTAACAGGAACCATAAAAGTAAGGTAATACACTAATCAAGTATTACTTAACTAAATAGTGTTCCACAACTAAGGCTTTAATAAAATATAGCAGACAGTAAGCCAATTTACTATGAAATATAGAAAACCAAAGAACAAGCCATTCACGCCTCATATTCCTACAACACAGGACTGATAAAAATGCGAGTTGTACTGACCAAGATTTATCATTAACAACCTTACAGACAAGTATCTGTATGAAATTTTATCTAGTTACAGTTAGAATTGATGGATTACGAAGTAAAATTATTCCTTGAATTCAGATGTGTGGCTGACAGATGAACCGTTTAATTGCTTATGATTAACAGGAAAATGTAATTCATTCCCAGTAAGTACTACAATGAGCTACATGATGAAAGAAACTAGCAAACATTTAGTTAGTTGAATACACACAGGACAGAAATACGCTGATTTGTGTAAATTAGGAAACAGCATGAAAACATGCATAACAGGCTAACTTTTCTATACTGAACAAAGAATTGATCCTAGTCTGCGTGAAGCAAGTTCATGTTTTCAGGATACATGATTTCTCTCAAAGAGGGTGTCATTACCTGATAATGAGTTCTAAAACGGGCGATTTCTCACTGTAAATTCATCTAGCACTAAATGGATCACAGTTCATCATCGAGTCACTTATTCGATGTACATATAACTAAAATTCGGCTGACACTGTGTAACAAACAATAGGAAATCTGTTGCTTCTAGTTATCCATTGCGAAAACAGAACTGTTAATCATGAAAGATGTAGCGCATCGCAGCTAACGAATTAAAACATGGAATTTGTCACAAAACAAGTTTCACAAAGTTTTTCTTTTTTAGAAGTAGCTATACAGTAAACTATTAAAGGCTAATCATACCTGCTTAGCCTTATGAAGAGCTTGCTCTCTTATTTCACGATCAGTAGCCTCACGAAGCAGGCGAGATTCCAATTCTTTTTTCGAAGTTCCCGTCTTGCTTTGGCCTCTTCTTGACGCTGAAGAATTTTCTCCAGTGTAGAATGAGGTTTACTTGCAAAAGCGAGATTACTTGGGCATGTATTTCTGGAATCATATTCCGGAAACGAGAAATCTTTAAAACGACTTCTTATCGCATAGTTATCTGAAAACTTAGGATCAAAAAGTCGAAGATACAATAAGTTTCTTGAAATAATTCGTACGAAAAATATATTATTGCAAAGCTACCTCAGTAAAAGACAAAAATGAACCTTTTAGGGGTTATACATTCCTACCTTTTGTAGTCCATGTTAAGTCAGACAACTAGCTGTGAGTGTGGCAAGGAGGAAAATAAAAGATCCTGAGCACACGAATAATTGAGTTCATCCAGCCAGAAACTCAATAAAAGTATGAGTTAATACAGACTATCGCAAAATGGGATGATACAAAATGACATAAAAAACTAAGGTCTTAAAAGGGATTAGAATTAAACAAGAAGGCATTAAGAATGACGATTGAAATACAGATGAATATTAACATAAAGTGTTCTCACTCAAATAACTTACCATTCTTAAGTCATTCTTTCTGCAACCTATTAGATTTTGCACAACAGTATACAGTTTTTTCACGGTTCACTGTTACAACTTAATCATCGAACATCAAATAATTCTGTGAACGTTTTTAATTATGCTAAAACCATCAACACAATTACTTCAATATTTAATAAACACTCGGACAAACAAGAAAGTTCAACATTTTCAGAAACAGGAATTCTCTGTACTAATGATCATTCGGATCGACAATGTAACATGAAACTTTTCTACAAAATACTTTATGGTGGAAATAAATCACTGAAGAAAAAGAAACTACATTTGTTTTGAATCATTTCAGCTACTGAAAATTAAGTCTGTGAGGCTCAGAAGTTATGTTCAAACATGTATATCATTGTGAGTTACATCTATTCCATGTAAGTAAATTATAATATTCAGTGATGTAGACAAAGTAGATGAAGTGGGATTCAGATCAAGAACACAACTGCTGAAAATCAAGTATCTAAACTACTGAGTCACATTATAAGAAATTTATCTGTATAAAAGACATATGAAGACATAAGACACGTATTTAAGAGTTACCATGAAAATAATCAATGAGGTCATAGAATGCTAAAGTGAAGTTTATAAAGACCAGTAGAATTCTCAAAGAAGGTCCCTTAGTATGCTTTAGATTTGTGATTGCAGGCTGTGAGAGATGACTCAAGAGTGACTACCAAGGTGGGGATATACTCAGTGCCCTCATTGAGTATAATGATGTGGAGAGAGGCATTTCGTACAAGTTTCTGTTTTGACATAACAATAAGAACTTAGTTTGAAACATGAAGAATTATAACTGATGAATGATGTTTTATTGATAAATTGCATTGTAGGATATTTATTGATGAGAAGTTAGTTTTAAGGCAACTTACATTATTTTGATGGAACGCTTTTTGAACAAGATGATCCCATTCCTTTTTGATTTCTCTTCTGTCAGGCGTAAATTGTTCTAGATCAACGGTTGTAAAATCTAAATCTTCAGAAGTAAACATGCTTTTGACCATCCATTCACTTAGTAATTCACGAGCTTCTGTAAAAACTTATAAATTTAATTAGTGGTATCAAAATTTCAAAATTACCATTTTGAGTATACAAGTCATCTGTGATTCTAAAGGGTTTAGTGCACATTTCTTTATTAGTAGGGTTCTATTGGGGAAAATTCTCTGATCAAAAAAAGTGGTATTCTTACATACTTTGGAAAAAGTCTGTTTTTGCTTAGATTTGTCGTTCCTTTGCAAGGTAATGTTCTGTTTCATTAACAAATAACTTCACTGAAAAAAGACTGGGAACAAACTGATTTTTAGTTTGTTTGAAAGTAAAATACAGAGTATTTAATAATTACAGACCCAAGAGTTTTCCTTTTTCAATCAGTAAATGACCATATCTATTGTCAGTAAATGAACTATGCAAATCAGAGGCCATGTGCACATTCATGGGCTTGGCTTTTCGTTATGATCATTGGGTGACTTTAAAGGTCACCCTAGTAACTGTTAGGATAGCCAATTACTTTCCTACATTTTTAAAAAAACTACCCTTCTAGTTGGAATACTGAAGCTTCATTAGTTAATTCCGTAGTTGCTAGGGTGGCCTTTAAAGTCACTGTGATCATTATTTATTATTATTATTTATTATTAGTCCCTTGGGTTCCTAGTGGAACATAGGGCTTCAGTAGCACGCCTCCAGTGACCTCTGTTCTCTGAGATCTTTTGAACCTGGTCCCACGACAGCCCTTAACCTCTCATTTCCTCCTCGCACGACCTCCTCCATGTCACCCTCGGACGTCCAACTCGTCGCTTCCCATGGGGATTCCACTCGAGGGACTGGCCTGACGCGTGATGTCCCCAGTCGGCCTTCTCAGTGCATGGCCAATCCATCTCCACTTCCTCCTGCATATTTGTTGCGTGATAGGTTGTTGGTTGCTTCGTTCCCAGAGTTCCTTGTTGCTTATTTTTTCTGGCCATCTGATCTTCAGCAGCGAGCGTAAGCAGTTGTTGATGAATGTCTGTAGTTTATTGGAAATGCCTTTCGTGACGCGCCAAGTCTCTGAGCCATACAAGAGCACTGACTTGACGTTGGTGTTGAAAATCCGTATCTTGTTCCGCATGCTGAGTGCAGAAGATCTCCACACTGGTTTCAGGCTAATGAACGCCTGTCTTGCTTTTCCGATTCTGACTTTGACGTCCTCGTCCGTCCCGCCTGTAGTTGAAACAGTGCTTCCTAGATAAGTGAAAGAGGTTACTTCCTTCAAGTTTCTCCCGTTGACGGTGATTGGAGTTTGTTGTTGTTGTTGTTGATGGTGGTGGTGCGGTATCTTCATCACTTCTGTCTTCTCTATATTCACCTGAAGTCCCGTCTTAGCTGCCTCTTCTATCAACTTGTTAGTTTTTGCCTGCAGATCTTCAAGTTTATGTGACATCAGGCACAAGTCATCGGCGAAATCCAAGTCTTCTAGGTTCTTTTCCGTCGTCCAGTGTATCCCCCTCTTCTCGCTGCCTACTGTTTGCTGCATGATCCAGTCCACCACAATAAGGAATATCATGGGGGATAGTAGGCAACCTTGTTTCACTCCTGTCTTCACTTCAAAGGCATCACTGAGCTTCCCATTGTGGATTACTTGGCATGTGGCATCTTCATATAGTTGTTGAATGAGGCGGATAAAGGTTTGCGGTACTCCGTAGAAATGACGCAGTTTCCAAATTATTTCTCGGTCGACGCTGTCAAAGACCTTCTCAAAGTCGATGAAGTTGAGGTAGAGAGCTGATTGCCATTCTATGCTCTGTTCTATGATGATACGAAGCGTTGCAATTTGGTCTGCACATGATTTGTACTTCCTGAAGCCTGCCTGTTCCGGTCGCAGTTTTGAATCCAGTGCGTCTTTAAGCCTCTCTAGGATGATGCGGCTTAATATTTTGCTTGCCTCGGGTGGACAGGAGAGTGATTCCGCGCCAGTTCTTGCAAGCACTGAGGTCTCCCTTCTTCGGCAGTTTGACAAGGTAACCCTTCCTCCAATCGTCAGGTACCTTCTCTTCCTTCCACACCTTCTGCAATAGTGGTGTGAGCATGTCCGCTGTTGTCTCTGCATCTGTTCTCAGTGCTTCTGGCGGTATTCCATCTGGTCCTGCTGCTTTCCCACATTTCAGTAGCTTTATGGCGTTCAGGACTTCCATTTTCGTTGGGGGATTAATGTTCACTTGTAGTTCAGCAGCTGCAGGTGGTATTTGTGGACGAAGTGCGGGTGGTGGTCGATTCAAGAGCTTCTTGAAGTGGTCGGCCCATCGTTTCCTCTGCTTCTCTTCTTTTGTAATTAAATTTCCTTCTTCATCTTTTATTGGTTTCATCTGTGTTGGTCTCTTCCCTGATAGCAACCTGGTTAGTTGATACAATGTCGTCAGGTCTCTCTTACCTGCAGCCTGTTCTGCTTCACTTGCCAGTGTTTCGTAGAAGTGTCTTTTGTCGTTGCGTGCACTCTTCTTCACTTCTTTGTCCAGTGTTTTATACATTGTGCTCAGTTCCTCTTGTCGTTGAGCATCCTTGCACTGGTTTATCTTCTGCTTCACCATCCTCCTCTCCTCTATCAGCTTCCAGGTATCCGTCGAGATCCATTCCTTGTCTTCTTTCTTCTTCCTTCCTAATACTGTTGTGCAGGTTTCTTTCCACATAGCTTTCAAAGACTTCCAGTGTTCTTCCACACAGGTTTCTTCGGGGAAGTTGCCCGATGTCTCCCATTTTGTCTTGATGGCTGGCTGCCGTGAAGATCTCCTTTGTAGTTTCATCCTTCAGTTTCCGAGTGTTGTACTTGAATTGAGGTCTATCACCAGCTTCCCAGAAGGCTTTTAACTTGATTTGGAAGGTTCCTTGCACTAGATAGTGGTCTGAACCTACATCTGCTCCTCTTCTTGACCTTGTGTTAAGTAGACTGCGTCTCCATTTTCTTGAGATTGAGATAAAGTCGATTTGATTTTTAGTGTGTCCATTTGGTGAAATCCATGTCGCTTTGTGGATATCTTTGTGCCTGAACACACTGCCTCCAATCACCAAATCGTTGAATGCAACGTGATCATTAAGTAAATAATAATTGTACAATCTAAGTATCGGATCCACTATCTACTGATAAAAAGCCTGAATGTCTATATTATCGTCACAGAAATAATTTGAGACAAACTGAAGTTTATTGAATTCACGAATAGCTAAGTTACACTTGACGTAACAGAAAAAAATTGTATGTCGATAAGGACTGAAAATCGAATGAGGCTTTGACTATTGCAATTTGAGGAAGTCCAACAATACCCAACGTTTATCAAGGAACGGTAGTAGAAGATTAGGTCATAATATGAGGAAGTTAACTGAGCTGTGAGCATTTCATATCCTCACCATTAACTTCGAGTTATTCATAGGAGAGATAAAACTGTACATAGAATTCGCTGTAACGTATTCTGCTTTTGGATAGAAGAGAGACGATTTGGATGAGCCATTCATAGCTGGTCGAAAAGACCATCAACCTGGTAAATAAATGCTAAAATAACTGATACCAAACAAAATTTGGGAGACTTGCTTCTTCAAAAAGGCCATTTCCTTGAGTGTAGAAACCTACCCGCCACAGTTGGTCTTGCTTAAATCGTTACGTCAATTTCAGTATGTGCTCCAGCGAGTCAGAAAGACGAATTCTGATGACAATTTCTGACCAGTCTGCTGCTAGAAGTTATATTTTGTAGATAAACCTGACTACCAGGATGTGGTCACTGGAGTACAAAGCTTTCAAAGTAACGGCTGTTAAATGCTCACATTTTACACCTCCCACCTACCTTAGCCATTTCATAGTGAGCTAATTAAATAAGTACTGATATAATATCTAAAACTGGTATTCACCATGAACTGACACCGGTTGGAAAACCATTGAGACCTTGGCGCACTTAACAAGTGTTCCGTCCTAGTATGAAACTCCTTAGCAGTGCATAACCACGACCTCTCAAGAGAACGAACTTAAGAACTTCAAATTCGGTGGAGAGCACGTTGCCATTGAGCCACTGGGCCGGAAACCAGTGGTTCACAGCTACCGTCTAGTAATCACTAGTGACACTCTTCGATATGGGAGTTCTAATGAGAAGCTGTGACCTGTGAGGTCAACCAAGTCCAGTGTGGGACAAATAGTCATTGATAGCATTGGATGGTGGTCATTCTACATTGTTGATCGTCAGAAGTAGGATTACGTGGACGACTGGATTCTGATTCTGATGGCAAAGTGCTTGCTGAGAAACCTGAAGGTCCTGGGTTTGATCCCTGTAGAGGTTGGTGGCGCGCACTACTACGGATTCCCATATAGAGTAAAACAGTTCTCCGAGTATTTTCAGGTTTCAATGATTCTTCAACTTATTTTAGCCTGTGACGAATACCGCCTTAGATCAATAATTCTCCAAGAACCTTCAAACTGAAACAATAATATGATAATCAGTGACTTAAGTGTCAACCCAACAGGTGACACACTTAGGTTAATGGACTATGATCCTACCGTATTAATAAATATTCTTCGGGGAACCATGTTAGAGACAGCAGTCACACCTGTCACGGGAATAACAGAAGTCAATATAATGAAACATTAAATTTCATAGATGTATCTGTAAACCTTCGGCACAAAATATTGGGAATATTTCAAGGTCGAAAGAAAATGTGGGTAGTAATTTTTCAAGATTTAATGTTAAATATCATCCAACAGTAGGTTTGAAAACTAGTCCATATGCTATATCTTAAGTTCATCAAACGTTCCAGTCCCTCCCCGGAGTAAATGCATTGCAGGTAGTTCCAGCAAAGAGCACCAAAAACGATAGTAGGTAGTTCAATACCTCTACATATAAAGCATCTAGCCTAATAAAATGCAGTATCAATTCCTTCACCAAAACAAATATTATTCTATCATAAAGACATTATTTGTAGGGTATGACTCCTATGACAAGTAGCTTCTTCAGAGCTAGAAGAAAAAACTTTCCCAGAAAGTGAGTGCAGTGCTTATCATAATAAACAAGTTGCTAGCTTCACATGTTTCCCGCCAAACAGAAAAATCACATGCAAAGTTGTCAACTACTTTTTAAAAGACAAACACTAAGGAATATATCTTTTTTACCTTGCCGTAGTCTTATTGTGTATCATTTCAGATACCTCTTATAGCAGATGATCATTCTTTTATTGTAAAGTAAAAAACTACTAAACAGATATGTCTAAAAACTGTTTATGCAGAAAAATAACTGGTATCATTATCGTCTTTTACACCAAAGGAGAGAAAACCAAATAAACTTTACCCAGAGACTGAATTTTTGTTTCTGAGTCATATTCTTGTCCTACGAGAGTCACTAACGTGGTCTGCAACTTCTAACATCTCTTTGAAAGACTGGTCATTTCCTGAATTTCTAATCTCTTAAGCAAACCAATAGCTACCGTTTATTCTTCCCGACAAAACCAAATGTTATAAAGTACATGTGGCAGTTTCAGTAGGACTGGTACCATATACCTCTTAAAGGGAAAACTATTCTAACGCAATATCTTGAAAACACGTTAACTTTGCTTGATTTCTCAAAATCCAGGTAGTATAGTGATAATACACAGTATAGTTCATAGCAATTTGCTCCATATCATCCCATAACTGTGTATTATAGGACTGTATGTATGTTATGAAAAGTTACGTCTCAAGTGATTTTAAAGGTTTGCTGGCAAAGAAAAAATGGTCTATGACACCATCACCGAGAGAGGTGGGACAGTGATATGCTATCAGGAAGGAGAGCTAGAACACTAGGTGGGGCCCTAGATCAAATGGCTCTGAGCAACGCTCTACTTGCCCATCAACCTGAACCTGAACAGAACGCAGATGCCAGTCCCCTAACTCACGTCAAATGTGAGAAAGTTGTTTCTGGCCTGAAACAATGCAAAACTGCAGCATCTGACGGTTTCTCACCGAATGCTTTTAAGGTTAGGGGCAAGAAATTGCTGATTAACGTAGCGCAGATGCTGAATACTGTAAAGAAATCATAGGTAGTCAAATCAGACTGCTCTACTTCGCGGTTTATTCCACTCTATAAAAAACCAGAGAAGCCTTCATGTGACAACCACAAGTGAATCACTTCGAATAATATCGTGTTTGGAATCGCTGGATTCATGTTTATCCGGCTCCTAACTGCAGCTTGGGAAAACCATACAGGTTTCAGACCTGGACGACGAAGCATCGATCATATTTTCACCTTCCGACGATTCCCATAACACAGGGATACCTACTGGAGAACGAAAATACACGCCAAATTTCTGATTTGGAGGTGGTATTTAACTCAGTTGCCCATCACTTGGCGTGACGGTGTCTGACTGTAAAGGGAGTATTAAGCAAGTATAGAATGCTAATCACTGCTCTTAACTCGAACTCACACAGTCATGTAAAGACTTACAGAGAGTTGTCAAGTGAGCTGGCAACAACTAGTGGTGTGCAGCAGGTATGCCCACTGTCACCGTATTTAGTTAACTTCATTATGCACGTACTAACTGAGATAACACTAGGTACGTCTGACTTCAAAGAGATTGATATGCTCCCTGAAGGGCATGTAGTTGACTTGGAGTACACAGATGATATTGTCCTACCTAGTGAAGATGCTGACAAAATGAATGGTCTTTTGGATGTATTGAGTAGATATCTGCGTATGTTTGGTATGCAGTTCTCACCTGTCAAGAGTAGGATGATGCTACAAGACTGGTTTGCAAACACTCTTAGTTTTATGAAGGAAAATGAGGTGGTTGAATGTGTTGACCACTTCACTAACTTGGGGAGCTGGATCACGCTGAGTGAGCTGGTTGCTGATGAAATCTCAGTTCGGATACAGAAGGCCTGTTGGACATTACTCTCTGTTGTCTTCATTGCATTACTCTTGATTCTACATAAGGAGTCAATCCAAGCTTGTGGCATTAATAATGACCAGGCTGAATTTTTGTCACAATTCTTCAGACGAGTGTTCTCTTGAGGCTGTAATTAGTGTTGGATTTTACGAAAAAGAACCAGTTCTCACAAATTATTTTGTCTAAAAACTACCATGAAACCTCAGTCTTGGCAAGATCAGTGGTCCAAATGAGCTGTATAACTTCATATAATCAGAAACAGAGGACATCATTGGGGAATAGCTGTCTTATCCGCCTAACATTCCACTTACCCGACCCAAATTTTCAAGTGACTTGAATGATGCCATTATGAATCCAGTTTGTGAGACTGGTAATAGACATCAGGTGGCTGACTATCACCTGCTTGGTCTAAGTATTTAGGTTCTTAAACTTTCGAAAGTGATTACGCGTAGAACCATCCTTGTGTGCATCCGCAGAAACACGCCCCAATCATGAAATGGTACGACTGTAGAGCCGATCAATCATATCTTATTAATCTCATAACTGCAAGATAGGCCTTATCTTCCACTAGTGACGTAAATTATTCGACTTACGCAATATTCAGTGGCATCAGCAAAGCATTCGATAAGGTTTGCCAACTGCTTCCTAGGTAGTAGCTGAAAGTTCTGACGATTACCGGCATAATCAGAAAATGGACCACTGACTTTTTTAACGAGAGAGTACTGAGTTCAAGGTTTTATTTTTACGGAAACCAGTAAAACTTAGGGTGCCTCAAGATAGTTCATTGAGCCCACATCTCTATCTTTTCTATGCTAATGAATTGAACATAAAGTCTTTCCCCTGTCTTTATGTTTGCAGATGGTGTCAAACTCTAGAAACAATTCATTGTGATTAGGATAGGCTGCCCTTACAAGACGTCTTAAATTTCCGTCTTGACTGGTCTACACGATACTTGCCTCGAATGAACAAAACCAAGTGTGTAGTAAAGTGAACCGAGCCTGCAAATCTACGTTGCCAGTTTGATGAGTACATGCTTCTGACCAAAGTAAGTGAATACAAGGGCTTGGGACTAATGGTCACTTGTGATCTTAAAGAATCAGCTAGTTGTAGAAAGTTTAGAAATGTTGTGGTCTGCTCGGTAGTTTTTTCAAAGCTTTGGCATGCTTTAAATTTGCACCTGACATACGTGGGACCTCACTGGAATTCGTGATCCGGGCAGCAAGTCCGAGTTCCAAATATGAAGTTGATATGTTGGTATGGGTTTCAAAGGTAGGAACTGAGATGAACAGGAGTCTGGACTGATAATATATTTTTCCTATCGTAGAATGAAGAGCGGTTTTATATCGCAAAATACTGTCTAAAATAAGTATTGGTCGGTTAATTTATCTTATAAACCACTGAAAAGTCCATAAATCACGCCTATATCGTATCTTCTCAGAAGTGCCTTCCCTTAAGGTGGGGCACATGGTATTTGCTCATACTGCTGACACGTCTAAGACTAGGTTGCACCTCCCCTTCAGTGATGAGGAATTAATCCTAGTTTGGGAATGTCTCACAATACAAACCGGTAAAGTGAATCCTAAATGACTTGAATTTTCGGAGTAACTCAGTTTTTTTTACTTATTATTACTTACAACTATCACTAAAAATGTTGTTTTTCAGTTGGTCTTGCAGGAGATATCTCTGTGGAGATTGTAATGGCCTTGAAGGCAGTCAGTTCTAGTGGGAGAGAAAAGATAAGACATATCCGTACCGAATTCATTATTAAGGAAACCGAATGCCAGTATGAGATTCGCTTTTACCTACGATGAGACAGCGGAAATAAGTTTGGTCGATTTGATAGTTCTTCATAGGATAGATTCTAAGGGCCTGTCACAAGCTTGGTATCTACTCTTTGAACACGCACGAGTACATCAGCATCCTTATTTAGACGTGGACTGACCACTTGAACGTAGTAGTTTAATAAGGTCTAACATAAGTACAATAGAGTATCCTAAATAAAAAGAGGAAAACTTGAACATCATGGCAGTGCGTCTAGGATATTGAACTGAATCTAAAAAAACTGTGTTCCAGTACCTTCAATTATGAAATTCGAAAATCTCGGGTTATGATAACTGAGTTACAAAATTCAAAAGTGTTTAACTTTTTTTAGACTAAAGCAAACTTCTACCGCTTATTACTGTCTTTAAACGTACCTTTGGAACAATAATAAGAACTTGTTTTATTGTGATATTATGACAGGACTTCCTGTCATAAAATCATTTTGTGGATTCCAGTTCCAGTTCAAAGACTTTACGCTATGTTAGCGCTACAACTTTTAACCTAGATACCGAGAGTGCCAATATCCAATATTGGTCTTGCGAGTTTGTGTAAACTCATCAAATCATCCACCCTCCAATTCAAATTTTTTCTGACGATCTCAATTCACCGGTAAATACCAACGCAGTTTTTCTACCTGCCTGCTGTATATCTGGCAAACTCTATGAGTGGGTGGTTGTTAGCTAAATTTGTAAGGAAGTTTATGAGTTAAGAGATTCGGATGTAGATTTGTTGTTTGAGGGTAGGGGGCCGACAGCCTTTATTTATCCTCTTCAAGTGGATTTCTGTGTTAGTCTAATCCCTTTTTGAACGAGTCAGTTGGTGATGCGGACACCACTTCTCGGAGTCGGTTCCAGGTGTTGATTACTCAACGCGAGAGCCAGTACTCTGCGGAGACTATGCTTATCCTTTGCTTTTTTAGTCTCCTACTATGTCCAATGAGGTTTCCCGACCTAGTGGAAAGGAAAGGAGGGGGTAGATAAGGTCCGAAGTCATTTCTTAGAATCCTGTATAGCATGATTAGGTCCCACTCTGTCTGCGATAGGATAAAGCGAAGAGGTTCAGCTCCTTAAGCTTGTCTTCATAGATGATACCAGCTGCCGCGGGAATCATACGAGTGGCTGCCCTCTGAACTCTTCCGCCTGTGTACAGTTTTCTGATTTAGACCTAACTAAGGATTTGTATAAGACGTTGAACATGTCATCACTTATTTTCGTGAACGTTCTATCTAATGCCCAGAGAGTCCTAAAACTCCGAGCTGCTACCAATCGACAGTGAGCCATGGTTCTCAAGTCATAGCTAACCGTGACTCCCAGGTCATTGCAGGTCATTACTGATAGTAAAGTAGTCCATCAATATCGTAGGTGTTGCTGTATGTGTGTGCCCCAAGTGCATGCTCACACATTTGCCTCCGTTGGTAGACATCAGCCACTCCTCTGGCCAGGTGAACAAGCCGTACAGGTCCGCCTGGGGTGCAGGTATATCCTAAGCGTTCCTAATCTCCCGCCAGATTTTTACATCATCAGCGTAGAGAATCGCAGAGGATCTTGTAGTGTTTGACAGGCCATTTAAGTATAGAGGAAACAGCAGGGAACCAGGACTGTGCCTTACGGCACTCAGATACATACTGTCAGAGAGTTGTTGGGGTTGGCTTTAAAACAAGGGTAAGAAGAATGAAAAGGTAATCAAGGAAAACGAAGTAAAGCAAAACCTGAAATATTTCCAAACTCCCACAATCACCTCCGAAAGCAAAACGAAACAAAAGAGGAAGCCTAGAAAAATTCAGAAAAGATGGAGAAGAAAACGGTGATATCGAAAACCTCAAATAATATACTGGGAGGTAGGGAAAGCAGTAGGAAAGATCACAGTAAGGGTTACGAAAAAGGAAACACTAACGATAGTATTGGAATCCTGAGTGAAGCGGCAAGACGTTTGATAAGCATATATAGGGTCGCATTAAGTCCACAACAATAATGGCAACGCGAAGGAATCCGTATGGAGGCAATGGTGTTAGACTTCTAATTGAGGTCGTATGTGGGTCTCATGAGGCTTCTGAAGGAGCCCTGTGGTGAAGGGACCTAGCTGTCAACACACGAACAGTCGTGGGGCGTAGTCTCAGGGGCCGTCTTCGTGATACTTTGAACTGGTGTCCAGTTTGCGGGTTAGTATGTCCCTGGTTTTTCTCTACGATCGCATGAAGAGGCTAAGTGCCACATGGACAACAACGTATGCCCTACGAGTAGTGAGCCTAAAAAACCGTGCTCCCACATTTATCCAAGTTAAATGCAAGTATATAGGTCACCTTTCGCCGCATCCAATTCTCTTCCAGATATCCCAGCCCCCTATGGCTTAACGTCACCAGTTTAAGGTGGAATCGGGAAAATGATGGCCGACAGAAGGTCATTCACCAAAAGTGAGGACAGTGATGGACCCGAAACCGTTCCTTCTCAATATGCTCTCCAGACTTGACAAACACTGTTGGCCACTGTGCAGAACTCTACGCCCTCCAAATAGTCCTCCAGCCAGCACAGCATATAATTGCTAATACCTGGCCCTGATAGTTTCGAGTGCAGGAATGTCGTGTGGGACGATGTCGACTTCCAACAATCGAAAGCATTCAGACTCATACTTACGACTGAGGGGTAGGAGGAGTGAATAGATCTTTGTACTTGTTCATTTCTTTGTTGAATGGGTCAACCGATAAGGCATATGCCGCTACTTCTGAGGGTCAGTTACCAAAACTGATTACCAGATAAAAAACAATTTTCTATAGGGGAGAATTTCGTTTTTTGTTTTCGTATTCTCTTGCTTTATCCTCGGTGGTGTTTCCGCCTTGTGGTAGAGAAAACAGAAGATAGATCGGGCTGAAGCCATTTCCTTAAATTCCGAACATCGTGATTGCATTCCCCTTCCGTCTTCGATACGACAAGGCGAACAGCTTAAGTTACCGATGTTATCCTTCGCGTCTCAGGCAAGCCATCGCAGGAAAGATGTGAGTGGCCACCTTCTGAACTCCTTCCGGATGGTCTCAGCCAACCCATCAAGAATGGTAACGAAATCATCGCTACTTATTCCACCAGACGTTCTGCGTAATCCCCGACACGTCTGGAGAACTAGAGCGTGTGCTGATTGGCAGCAAGCCGTGATCTTCACTTGCTTTGGCCGCCAATTTAACGTGGGTCAAAACGGCGGGTGAAAAGATCTCATTGTCAGTGTGGCTGCTGCCAAGTCCATACTCCGTAAGCATGCCTGAAAACGTATCTGCTGTGATAGTCATTACCAACTTCCCTGACCACGTTAACAAACCATGAACGTTTTCCCGTAGTGTATGCACATCGCCATCATCATTTTACCCTGCTGGGTTCTTATTCCGTCAGCCTATATAATGGTGGGGGACTTCGCGATACTTGGAAAGGCAGCAGCAGGACCAGGGATGTACCTTGCAGTACACATCGTAAAAACTTCGGGAAGGAGAGTTTTGAATCAGTACTTACCCTCTGTATCCTAGTAGGCAGGATCTTTACAGTTCACGGTGGTAGATTCCTAGTAATTTTGAAGCTTTAAAGTTTCACGCACAACCAAGACTAGAGGCACTCCATGGAAAGCGGTAATGAAATCCGTGAGAATGACATCTTGAAGGCTTCCCATCACCCCTAGGTTTGGTCCGACTTTCTTTACGTAAGTCAACAAACATTCTCTCCTCAAATTAAAGGTAACAAGAGAGAGACCAGTTTACAGGCATAAGCAAACTGATAACGCTACAGAAATCTTCAACACTCGGGTAGTTGTGTACGACGCAGAAGGAAGGACATCAAAGTTTGTCACGATGTCAAAAGTACCTGAAGGTTATGAAAAGAACAGGAATATTTCGATTTACAGCACACACAGATTTTCCACGTGTTTCCGTTGTTTCTATTCCCCATTCTTTTTTCATACTAAAGTGACATCAAAGCCGCGCGATACTGGATATCCAAGTTGCGTGTGACCAAGATGCTTAAACCGGCTGTGTAGTTCCACGTGTCATCAGATAAAAGACTACTTTAACATCACTTCATACGTTTGTAATATCAGTGGTCGACAAAAACTCACTCTATCAATTTCAGATAAAAGTAGGTGTTTACACAACCATCTAATTCACGTGAATATCTACGTTCAAGCATGTCCTGCTCAACACGTTACCTCAAACAGCAGCATCAGAACTAGCTGTGACGAGAAAAAGTGGACATTTGAAGGACGTTTATCAAATGGCAATGGAGGTTTGTACATAGAACCCACATCAAAGTATGCAGCATTATCAAGGGGTGTGTTGACTGTTGGTTGTCTCCCGTCAGACGGAGCCAAATGAGATAAAGTACTGAAGAAATTTGTTGCGGGTGTTTGTTTGCGAATAAGTTGCACTTAGAGTCACTAAACGAGTTTGTCCCTTGGATCTAGTTGTCCGTTCAGATCTTCGCCACCATTATGACCATACAGAAACCTTAGACTGCGAGGTTTGTTAAGCAGGAGAAGCTTCAGTGAGGTAGATGCCATGGTCGAGACAATGCAGTACTGTCTTCTGGACGGACAGAAATTGCTTTCTTGATCTCCACTTCTCAAGACTTTAACCACAGTACCATTCAAGCCTATCGGTCTGTAGCTCAATGGGTGTTTTCATGAGCCTGCCTGGTGTGAATACCACATACTTTCAGCCATGTGTTGGTACAGCTAGACTGAGGGGCAGTCTAAGTATAATGGACCAGGCATGCAGAGTGAAAAGTTTCAGGCGGAGCTAACTCAGTAATGTTTATTTTCCATCATTCGAAGCACCGAATGTCCCATATATATCACTGCAATCTATGCCCAAGAGGTATGTTCTGCCGAGCGCCGCCGCTTACACTTCAGGAGTGATGTCCACCATAGGGTTCAGGGCGCAAACCCCAAAGAAACGTTCAGCTGCAGCCTATGGTTTGTCTTTATCATCTTTGTTTGTTTCTTCTATCAAAAAGGGGATGACAGAGTAGGTCGGATTCCTGTAGTCAGTATTGGAGAGGTAGCCACCCTAGTTATTCCTTTGCAGCCCACTTAGAGGTTTGCGCATATCTCATTAAAGAAGTAAGCCTCTCGGTCGTTGACGTAAGAGTTGAGCCAGTACAGCGGAAACTGTTACAGCTAACAAAAAGACACCCCGCAGGAACACAGTAAGTCCATGCTATGGTAAGGTGGTGAGCACGCGCAACTGCCGGTGGCAAGCAGCTGCCATTTATTCCCCTTCAAAAGTTGACAATCCTTCGGTACCTACACTTTCTGCATTGCTGGAAAAACAACTGAGACTCTTGGAGTTGCATTCGAAGAATTTTAAAGTACCTTACGTTCTTCGACGAGTACCACAAAAATCGTTAAGTGTTCTGAGTACGCGGAAAATAATAATGGTAATAATTTATTCTCGCAAGTACAGCCACACACCAGTTTACAGACGTAGTTACGTGCCTATACCAGTTTGACATTTGTGACTGGCAAGGTT